TAACTACACAAATATTTTTTGATTTAAAATGTTCTAATGCAAGAATAATGCATATATGAGAAGTATCAAACTGTACTGATGAAAAGTATCCTCTTCATATCTAAACCATCTAAACGAATGCTTTACTTGAYCTCAGGTGCCATGGTATCACAGCAGCATAGCTCTTTAGATAACCCAGACCAAATTCAATTAAAACTTGATAGTGAGTGCTATAGTTTAGTTATTCATCACATCAAATTGCATTTTAAAGTAAACGAGGAGCCAGTGCAGATCAGAGAGCATCACTATGACGTGCTCTCTCTGCAAGGAACAAACTGAAAACCAGCCATCTTTTGCACTAGTTAAATCTCTGAGAAATCTAAACGCTTTCTTCATTATAGATCATGTTGAGATGAACAGAATACGAATACAAGGAACAAATGTGGTTTTCTCATAAAAACCCTCCTTTTGATACACAGGATATAGAGACAAGTCAGGAGACCCTATAACATTTTACATCTAACTCCTGGGGGAGTGGGGCAGAAACTATTGGCAGAGCCCATGATGCATTCAGCTGTAACCTTATTCCACTAGCCCATAGAGCTAACACCATCACCAGCACACATAAAATTCTTGGGGGAGCAGGGTTTATGCTTTCTTCTTTCTTCTCCCCATGAACGATATACTTCTTCAAAGTCTACTATAAATCTAATAGCCACAGCTATGTAGTTGTATGGCAATATATCTTATTTATTAAAACACAAGTTTTTGTTTTATCAATCCTGTCACCTACCAAGAATGTGTCCTTATTCCCTTGAAACACAAAGGGAAACACAAAGGGGGAAAGAAAGGAAGAACAGGGAGCCTGGGGAGGTTTATACATGAGAGCGTGTGCACTGCTTGAGGACAGCAAGCGACTGCAGGCAGTGCCATATGAGGAGAGCAAGTGACTGCACCCTGTGAAGAGAGCCAAGTTCCTGCAATATTCCTGCATTTTTCATCATAGGACTTCATAAAGCTGAGGAGGGGAGGACTTTCCACCAACTTTAGAAAATCATACAAAAGCTGTGCAGTATTTCAGTCAGTTAGCATAAATTTATTTTATGGCCTACGAAATCTAGATGTAGTAGAAAAAAGCTCTCAAGTCAAACATGTATCTGCCATTACGACCCTAATTAGTCCTTTTCTGCATACCCTCCTGCCAATTCAGTTGATTTACTGGAGCAAGAAGAGGACAGAGTTTTTCAACAGCTGCAAACCTTGAACATTCAAAGGCATGAACAACAGAGAACTATTTCACCTAATTCTGAACTCTCTTCACCTTGGAGATACAACCGTAAGACACGGGGCTCCTGTGCACAATGGCTAAATGTTTTTAAAGAAATTTAAGAAGAGATAGGAAAGAGCACCATTTTTTCTGCTTCAGTAAAATATCAGAGAACTATATGACAAATAAGAGGATACACAAGAGCATATTTAATTTACATATAAACATGGGCACATTCATATGTGCTCCCTGGAGTTTTGGGGTTACCATGAGAGTTATTTGGGATGAAAACGCTACATTCAGGGCCTCTACAATAGTTCCAGCATGCAGAGAACTTGTCTCACACTGGCACAACAACATACRCATCTTGAATATTCCATGGTCACTCATTTAAAAGGGATATTAGACRCAGGACTTCACTCTTTTGGCCGGTTTAATTACCCTGACAGGATGCCAGGCCAGACTAGATGGTGCTTCCAGGTTCAGCGTACTGTATGTATTTCTGATAAATGGGAAAAGAATAGATGACCTGGCAGAAGGCTCAGACAATAACATGTGATTTACAGGACATGAATGCAGCTACTATAAGATTTATCTGACAGCCCTCTCCGATAGTGGACTGTTGAGTATCCGATGGAATGATTTCTAGTCTGGAAAGTCTGCTACTGAGTAGCCATACACATTATTTATTTATTAGATGTTTTGGGTTGAAACCATTTTTAAATGATGCACTTCACAATGCTTAGCCATAAATTTAGTTTTAAACTCTGCAAGGGAGGTAGTGTTATTGGAATGTGTGTCAGGCTGAATTAGGATGAGCAACACAAYGCTTTTATAAAGTGGCCTTGAATGCAACGTCAATTCTTTCAAAAATGATATTAATGTCAAATAAGCAGAAACACTTYGCAGTAATATTAAATGAAGGATTTCTTTATGTTTTGATAGATTTATATAAACATAAGTATACACACAGACACACACGTCTCAATATGTAGCATGTCTACCCAAACACAACAGTTTTCAACTTAGAAAAAGCTTTTTGTCTGTATTGTTTCCTACTTGTTTCCCTTTATTTAAAACATTGAACACTGTATCAAAATATAAATAAAAAACTAAAACACAAAAGCAATTTTCCATGTGTCTGAATTACTTTAAAAGAAAAAAAATAAAAAGAACAAAATATTAACCCTTCACTTGCACAGGAAGACATGCTTTGATTATTCTTAATCAGAAAAATAGTCTTATTTTTGTATTTTTAAGAAAAAAAAACATTTACTAGTGAGATGACACTATCACATTCTACGCTTCAGAGAAAGAATAAAAAAGAATTTATTAAATACCTCTTAGAGAAAAGATCTAAGTGCTCGTAATACCATACAATATTTAAAACACATTTTCAGAAAGAGGTTAGCATAAAAAGCAAAGCAGTACGAGTATTAATGAGAGCAGTCTCAATTTTGTAAAATGATGGCTGACAAATTTGTGAAGTTTTAAATTAAATTTGCAGATACATACTTTATAACTATGCCACATTATTTATGTGATTAAAAACTAGTTTTTGACCTGATCTTTTGATCCTTGGCACTCCATCCTCTCCATCTCCTCTTAAAAATTAATTAGAATTTTTAGCAAAAGGATATCGCTTCTCTTCCTACCCTATCTTGGCCCAAACCCGCCCCCCTCCCCCCCCCCCAAAAAAAAGAACCCAAAAAACCCTACCACCACCACCACAAAAATAAAAATCAATCAAGCTCAACCTCATCTTCTCCCAGTATCTGTAAAATGTCGGCTTGAAATTCAATTTCATATCTTTCAAGCTTTCATGTAGCAAAAGACAGTTCAGTTCTTAACAAAATAAATCACTTCTGTGATTGCCATGCTGACCTCTTTGAATTAGGAAAATTCAAAGTGAAAAATGTAATTATCACCCCAGAACAATCTGTATACATCTGGAGCTAATTTTAGATTCATTTCTCACATTATTTTTCATATTCTGCCAAAAGTACAGCTGCTGTGTAACTTCAAAAAGATTTTGTGGTCTTCATGACTTTATTGGTTTATTTCTATAATTTTACAAAGAACAACCTCAATTTCTTGCAACGAGTACTGCTAAGCGATCACTATTTGATTAGATTAGCATTAAGTGGCACTATGACACATATGACAAATAGATGCATTAGAGCACGTCATTTATTCCTTATCCTTTCCACTTCCCACAACCAGTGACGTACAGTACAGAGCACAACACGATCTTAAAGAAGATTAGATTATCCTACCAGGATGAAGAAAAGACCAACAACTAATTACTGAAACAGGCAGCCAAGATTCAGAAAACCAAATACAATAAATACCAAGATGTCAGACACATAGTTAGAGTCTAACACAGACTTAATTGCTAACACATTAACAGAAGAATATTAAAATGGATTTCTTAGTAGCAAGATTTTTTTAAAGTCTAAATCTGTGTTAAATTCATATTCTAGAAACCATGAACAACATCCATCTATAGTCTCAGAATATGCAAGATAACCCCCTCTAAACTGCAAAAGTTCCCTAGGAAATATTAAGTTCCTCTCAGGGTGAATACATGATATTTTTCTAAAGATGGAGATCAAGATAAGTTCTGAATACATTCAAGAATAATAAGCTCACTGGAAAATATAACTACTCGTCACTAGTTCATTGTAAAATCCATTAGGTGTAATCTCCAGAAGTAATTGTTCTTATTGCACTTTATTGACAATGTAGACTATCGATTTTTCACACCTTCTATGATTCTTTCATTTGTATTCATGAAACGTCTATCAGCACAGTCTAAATAAATTTGGCAATATAGGCACTAAAATGAATAAATCGATGTGAAAAAACATTAATTTTGCATTATCCTTATTYGTCAGGCAAGCAAACCATAAGGGCTGTAAATGAAGGTCAAAGGTTTTGAAATGGGTCAGAACCCTTGACCTCTAGACCAATACCATTCCCATTAAAAAAGGCTATTTTAAAGTTTTAACTAGGGGAATTTATTACCAGAAAAGTATCATTTTTAAGGCACCAAGAGCAAGGCTCAATAAAAATGTTCTTCTATTTAACTATRCACAAGAAAGAAAAACAAGAAGCTTGATACAGTGAATGCAATTCTTTCATTACAATTTTAAGAAAGTTCCTTCAGTTCTGGCTTTTCTCTAACCACAGGAATGGGCARTTTTTAGGGTTTTAAATATTTGAAATTGCACTGTGTTTAGGAATGTAGAAAGCTCCAAACTGACAACAATCAGGGTTGCTTTCTTAGTTTTTTCTCAGATTCTTAGTCCTTGTCAAATCAATTAAGAATGACAGGATTTMAAAAATATTTATCACTCATTTCATAACCTCTATACAAAAGAAAAAATCCCACTTATCCCAGAGGATTCAGCTTGCGAAGGTGCAGAAATCAATCTGTTTCCATAACCTTTATATTTTGTTGATCTTATTTTCTCTTACAAAAATGACAGCATAGAATTACTTAAACACACCAAGATCAAGGTTATGTAAATGCTCGACAGTAAAGTAACATAAAATCCTCAATATCTTTTCTCTTTTACTGAATAGTTGCAATTACTACAAAAAAAATTAAAAAAACCACATCAACAGTCACTGCATATAATTTCATTATATATAATCTCATTACACAATCTTAAAGCAACATATTTTAACTATAACTTCTATTTCACCTAATGGTAACAGTTTCAGATAATATTGGTTGCTTAAACCTCACCTGAGAGCAAAGAAGCATCACCAACTCCACAACTGAACTACTGGATTTCATGCACACAAGACCTAAAAAGGAAAAATGTATTAAACTTAAGTGTACACTTATATGTTAGCAATTGTTAACATAAGCTATTTTAAATTTCAATAGATTTTGTCTGCAGCACCTTGACAATCAAAAGAAATTTTCATATTCTTTACAATTCAATTTTCTACTTTATCAGTACAAAATAAAAACATGCAAGAAGGAGATGATAAATTGTAAGCCTTGCAAMTAAAGATGCAGCTAGGAGTAAAACATTACCTCCATTATTCAGTTTCATAAATGTTTGCATTTCAAGATGATGAGAAGCGTGGTTAACATATGTTATATTAATCCACTGTAGCTACATTTTGTTATTTTTTGAAAGATTGGGTCATTACATATGCAGAGAAGGGAAATGGCTTTATGACCTTTGCTTTCTCCACTGCGCGTTCTCCTTTCAGCCCCCAGCTATCAATCAAGTTTCCATTTTGTTTCATGGCAGCAGACATCCCAAACACTCTTATTAGTACTTTGACCCTTAACCCTGGGCTAAACCTTAGCAGAAGTGCAAGCAGTAACCATTATATATTCTCAAGTGTTTACAAACTAATTTGACTAGTATTACTACTTGCAATTTGCATTTTGTTTTGGATTTGTGTATAAAATATCTGATCTCTTTGTTAGGCCCCAAAATTAGTTTTGGGCATTTATTTTTGTCTGAACAGTCCAAATACTGCCAATAATTTTACTGTATTTTGTCATCCAATCTATGAAATATTCATCTCTGTAAATAACCTTTGTCATATTCAACATACTTGGAAAGCAGATTACTCTTGGTTATTTTTTGACATGAAAATGCAACTAAACAGAAGACTTCCTGACAAAGTTTTCAGAAAAATCTCTTTTCTCTTCTTAAAAGAATGGAACAAATTTGTTCAAAAGGTAGCTTCCATTAAAATGTTTATCAGCTAAAGTGATACCCAATGGATAATCAAAAGTAGAATCCCATCCTTTTCAATCTTACAGAAGACAATCATGTCATTTTTTATTTACTTTTACAGTACTGAGAGTTATACTCCTTTAATAAACAATTTTAACTCAATGGAGTAAAGTGAAGTTTTTCTTTTTATACCAACAGTCATCAGTATGACGACTGTCTGACAGTGTTGACAATACATATTCAGCACTATATAGGAGGTACATATTCTAATCTAAAGAACAGGTGGTTTCAAAATATCTTTAAATATTATCCATGAAGCCACTGTATCTACAAGTAGAAATATTGTTCATGTGCCAATGACCACCTCAAGTCAAGCAAACATGAGCTTCGCACACAGGGTTACTGGAAGCTGCAACAGCATCAGGGCCTAATTCAACTGACTGTTGTAGCTACACAATATCTTCAACATTCAGTCTGAAAAAAAGTGAGTGCATAAAGCAGTTTATATGATAATTGAAGAAAATTGAAGTGCCCAAAAAAGGGCACTTACTACTAAATTCACACTATTCCAACACACACGACTTTCATAACTAAGGTCACTAGTGACCACTTACCTAAACCCTTTGTCTGTTTAAAGGCAAACCCTTCAGCTGAAAGAAACCTGCAGCTCAATCATCTTAAGCCAGCACCAGGAAGAGGATGATCATTGTTGGACACCTGAATCTTCAGGTCAGAAGTACCACAGCATAGAGCTTGACAGCTTTGAGAAGAATTTCTCTTGCCTGCCTTACTGGACTCCAAATGGAAATCAGCAAGGCCCACATGCCCCTGCTTCCCATACTTCCCATTTCATACCCTCTGATAAAATACAGTCTGTGTATTTACTTCACTACACTTGGTGTTAATGGGCTGAGCCTGYCATTTAGGAAATATTGCCAAAGTTTTAAGGCTGTCACAGTACACTTCGTACATTACCTTCTACAAGATAACTGGAAAAGAGAGTTGCAAAAGTAAAGAAGAGACAACCCAGTTGCCAGGAGTAGGCTCCATTTAATGAAWTGTTTAATGAGATGGTGGAAACTATAAGAAGAGAAGCAAAGAGGTAGCACAGGCAGAGAAAAAAATGGTAAAGAGGAGCAAGCAATGGCAATGATGTCTGGCAGATGGCAAAAGGAAGAAGGAAGGCAGAAGGAATAGGAGACAGTGAAATCCAACAAAAAGTATTGACAGGGAGGAAGAAGGAAGAAACTTCCTACATTGAAGCCCACATGAAAAATAGACATTGAATTTCCATGATAAAATAAAAAAAAAAAAAAATCTGGTTGGATACTTACTTGTACCTTCTATCAGCAACTCCTGACCATGGCTGCCCAAAAGAGTTCGAGAAAGAAAGGGAGCAAAATCCACAAAAATCTCTCTCAAAAGTGGGGCAGTTTTTTCCAAAGCATGTTCAAGTCTGTCTGTAATACTAATAAAAAAAGATATGATTAACAACATTAGAAAGCAGTTCCTGAAATTCTGCAGAAGAAACAGTTTTGGCAATGCTGCCTGATATATGCAGRGTCAATCTCCTAAAAGTTATTTTCCAAGATCTTGTGGAAGGATGAAAACCCAGCAACAAGGAAATTAGCAAGCACCATTCCATTAGGTATTGATCATAAACAAAGCAACATTATTTAGTATTTCATTATAATGCATATTGTAGTATTTCATTATAATGTAGATTGTTATACAATAACATCAATTATATCGTTAAAAAAACAAATAGCATCACAGCTGTCCAGGTGTTTGATTGAAAAATACCTCATATTTGAGGCAGAATCCTCAGGCACTGAAGAAACTGCAGGAACTGCAGGCAATTTGGAATTAGATGATCCTCTCCCTACAAGAGAAAGTAATAAACAAATTTATCATATAAGAAAAAAATGCCAGAGGATGGACAACTGGACCAGGAACTAGAACCTCAAGCTCAATTTCTGAGAAATCATCATTGTCAATCGAGAGACAGAGAGATTAAACAAACCCTACACTTTTTTTTTCCCCCCAATAAAACTCCTGCGTATTTACTTTCATATTTGCCATATGTGCCACAAAAAATAGTTTTAATTTTTGTTCTAACACAGCTGAAGTAGTTCAAGGAAGCTTGCAGAGTGCATTGTGGATGAAGTCATACCAATGTGATACCTTCTGCCCTCACGAGCTATGATTCTTTTCTAGCAAATTTAGCAGTTACAAATCTTAGACACACACATGAGACATATTGAAACGTATCTTTCTTCTTTGATATTTCTATAGTTTAAAACTTATGTAAAATGAAGGAAGCATTTAAAAATATCTTTTCTTGTTATTAGAAGTACTAATCAATTTTAAGTAGCTTAAGCAGAAACCCATAATTCTCTGTCTACAATTACAATACATTTCTATCAAAATTATCCAGTAGGCATAACTAGTGAGTATCTTTCAACAGCCTGATTTACATTTTTGCCACAGAGGGACCCTGACAAGGACAGCTATCATCATATTCTTCTTTGCACCATCAGCACCATTACCAYGATGGCAGTGGTATAACCTCACTTATGAGTTATTAACTTGGCCACATCAATTATTCAAAGGTTGATTGGGAAGCCTGGGTCACTTATCTATCCCAGGCTTACAAAACGTACAGAAAAGTAATTGTGTTAATGTCAAATTTACACTATATTACTTTCATCAGCAAAGTGGGAATCTGTAAATATGTAAATACTGAACTCCTATTCAGTGTATAAAGCAAAATACAACCTCTTATTGCAGTATGGGCAGTAATAGCAATGACAAAGAGGGAGCAGGCAAGACAGCCAGAGATTTCACAGATAGTTGCTGCCAGGATAGGAATGGTGAAACTCACAAATCTTACATTGCATTCCAAACTACAGAAGGGAATGAATCTTAGCAGATAGATTACTGTGCATTTCCCCAGAGCATGATTGCTTCTGGGCCATCTGCAATCCTATCTCTTCCCAGGCCAAGGTCCTGTCCTAGTCTCTTTCCTCTCACCTCGCCAGTTTGAAATTTCCATCCTGTTGAAGAAAGACTGAGAGGGGGGAAAAAAAATAATTAAAAAAGGGGGCATGAAAGAGATTGAGAGAAAAAAAGTAATTAAAAAAGGCATGAAGGAAAGGGATTTAATAGCCACAGTTCTCATGCCTGCCTTAGCAAAGCTCCTCCCCAGAAATACACAGGAAAAATTATTCATCACCCCAGACTTTGGAGTAAGCTCAGTGAAATACAACCTTTATGGAAATAAGTCGTAAAGACCTCAAAAGTGCCTACCAAAATGTGTCAGTGGTAACTTCCCAAAGGCCTTCTTGACTGAAGTGGGTAGATTTTTAAAAAGATGTTACAGACACATCTACAGATGTTACAGATGCCTGATGCTACAGCTATTTTTCCTATCAAACTTTAAATTTTTCCAAAGCACAGAATTTCCCAAAAGCAGACATTTTTCAGAAAAGATTTTTTTCTCAATTTTTCAACTGTGCAGGACAGTGGCATGCATTTTAAGATTATACAAGGTGAAAATAATTCAATGCATTTTCAAGTCACAAGTAAAATACCTAAAAGAAAAATTAAGAAAAAATGAGGGGAAAAATCTTTTAGGATACTAAAGGACATAATACCCAATGTGAGGCACATGTGGTTAGTTCTGGGTAATTCTTCACTGTGAGGTTTTGTTTATTTGTTTGTTTTTTTCCCCTTTTATACACAGTGGCAGCATTGGTATAAATACACGAGAAGGAAAAGACATCACTGACATCATAGATAACGATATGACTTCTGGAAATTATGATTGTGTATAGACTGTGCATAACAAAGATTAGGTTTACACGTAAAAATGCTTAAGTTAAATCAACTTTTCAATACCAAAACAGCAGAAAAGCTAGTAATTTGAGTATGACAATAGCATAGGACATGTACCTCTATAAATTGATATTCTATTTGTAGATTATGTAAGGGTAATTATGRCACAAATACCTTCATGCTTATCATTTAAGTTTACATTTGAAACTCATATATTTTGCCAAAAAAGAGGAAGCTCAGGTTTACTACGCTTAGTATTATACKTTTTTTTTAGAGGGTATTATTGTGCATAGCGATTTTCGTTTTGTGAAAATACTTTTTTGAATTTAACTCAAAAGCATTTTGTTTTTGATTTCTGGCTATTTTTTCATTCAGTATAAAAAATGAAAATACTTCAGTAGCATGTTTTCACCCACAGCTCACATGTGGGTAAGTGTARTAGCTACTTCAAACATGTGGAACTATACTGACTTATCTCTTCCTTATCCTTTCACTGATAAACTGGCTCCTTCAAACTGACAGTTTTACAGACATTTGCAAGAACATAAAAGAAAATGCAAATAGATCATCTGTCTAGCACCCTTCTAGTGAAAGCTTATTGTTTATTCAAGGTCCCCAAGGGTCTAAACAAATAATGTCTCTAGCAATAAAATATTATTAAAGAAACTCTTTCTGCAAGTCCCTTAYGCTTTTTCACATATATTTATACAATGCACACTGGCAAGACACATGAAAAACACACTAGACTGTAGCTTGATGGAGACAAGGTAGAAACAGAGAGTTGAACTAAATAACTGTAGCTGTTTAATTTTGAGGAAAAAAAAACACAGTAAAATAATGAGCTCATTTGAAAATACACTTCCTGGCCTGGAAGTGTACTATGAAAGACTACAATGAAAGGTTTTACAAGCCAATACAAGGGATCTGTTACATAAACAGATCTGTAAGCTAAACCAAACCAGATTTCATGAAACAATAGTGCACTCTCTAAAGAGAAGCTGTTCAAATGCATATTTTTTTTAATATTGAAATAGCATTACACTGTTTCCACTGTMTATCACTAATAACTGGGATAGAAAAGTGTTGTAAGATTTTGCTAAATAGCTGTCAAGTTGGAGTTGTCTTTGAAATATTTGCAGTAGTCCAACTAATTTCTTGGATGACTTCTGCACTGGCAGTATCTCACTTCACATCCAGTTTTCTTACTTGAGTTTGTCTTCCAGTAACTTACTTTATTGCAAGACTTTAAGATATGGTAATTCACCTATAAAATCACTTGCAAAACAAGCAAATGAAAGAAAAAAATGTTTCTCCATACATAGGACTAGAATTCTGTAGTCAAACTCGTTATTTCCTTTTCTTTTTTTTTTAAATGGTTATTTCCAGGTTCTTTCCTAATACTCATCTCCTTTTCCACCTCAGCTTTTGACATAGCCTTGTTTTCACTTCACACAGAGGGAAGAGAGGAAACCTCAAATCAGGAGCAGYTGAAACCTTACTAGCAACTCTGTGTGCCTCAAAGGAAAAACAAATGAAACTCGAAGAATTCCCCTAAACCATCCCACTAGGAGTTTCACAAGAGCTCTGCCACTTTCCACAAGTCTTGCCTTTCTAAACATTAGCCCTGCCTTTCCAAAGACCTGTATCTTGGAGACCTTATGTTCAAGATCTCCARCTACATCCAATCTCACACTCTGCCTGTAAGACCCTTCATGGAAGAAGGGACTTCTCCAAACAAATCAAGTAATTTCCTTTCTTCAGACAATTACCAGCAAGCCAGACCCTTTGCTCAGTACCACCCTACATAAGAGACAAGCGAATGATTCAACCGAGGCCACAGAGGTTTTATTTTCTCCCACTTTTTTCAGGTTCATTGTTTTCCAGGACCTTGCTACAACTGGACCAGCACTTCAGCAGACCAAGAACCCAGATATTGGCAAGCAGAAACACACTAATCCCCAGTGTGCTGCCCAATCCATGCTGCAACTAGCAAGTTGCCCAGGGATCAGTGTGGGTGCTGCCCCAAATATCCCTTGGAATGGCCTTCCCCACCCCCCTCCAAATGGGCCCCAAGTTCAGACCACAAGAGGCAAGTCTGTAAACAAGAGAAGCTGTTTGTGCTGCAAAATACTGGAGCTAATAAAGGTGAAGAAACGTCTTCTGTTAAAGAAGGCCACGCTGTCTGAGGCAAAAATGTTTTCACCCTCTTGCAGAGCATCAGAGGGACAGAGTGAGTTTAGATGGTTATCTTTCCAACCTGTCAACACTTGGCCTATGGCACGCCAAAGCATGTCACATCCACTTGATATGAAGCTCTGTGAGCTTAGGATAAACTTAAGGGTTATCTGGTAAGATACTCACAGGCCCTGYGCTACAGGCAAGGCACAGTGTTAAAGAAAAAATATTGGGAAGCAGACTGATAAATTTTGAGCATACATAAATTGAAATGGAGAGCTTGGGAATCATACTGACTGCCTATGCTTCAACATATGTTCTAACAAAACCAAGCAATTTTGATATCACAACTGCAGGTGGAAGAGAAATCATGCACTAGATAGATTTATTCACAAACTATGCTTATATACACAGTACATGTAAAACTGTCATTTGCTGTTCAATCCCACTTCAATGTCCGTATCTCACTTTCATCTCTGCTTTGGAGTAAAGTGACTCAGGTCTACAGAATAAAGCATGACATGCAAAGGCTTCTTTCCTTAATCAGATTTAAAAACATATCAAAGATGCATATTAAACTCACTTTAAAGAAACCCCTTGAGGTTAGAAAATGCAGCTGAAAGCTTGCTTAAATGTAGTAACCTACAGTCTTGATTTAAAATGTGGAAAAGACTACAATTTATATTCACTATTTAAGTCAYAGTCTGTTGCTTTTTAAAAGGAATTAATTCACTGTTTTCTTATCGACTAAGCAAACAGACTAACAGGCATCAAATGAGTGCTAGCTGCTGTATTGACCTCTTCTGTTGCCTGAAGACAAAAAAAATAGTGGATATTCATGTGATTTGAACTTGGCAAAAGACTTTTTTCTTTCATAGTAAGCTTGACTATTTGTCCCTTCATATCAAAAAGTCAGAGTTATTTTACGCAAAACTGTTTTAAGTTTAAATGTGTGCAATTTACATGTGCAAGACAAACTACTCCAACTATGCAGAATTTTTGTTTCCATACCATTATTCTACTGAGAAAAAGAAAGTCTCRCATTTTAATCAGTTTAAGGCATGATTTCATTTATCCCTTCACTTTTTCTTTTAATTAGATTGCCAGTCTAAACATGTCTATTATTTTAATCCTGAGTAGTTTCTTTTTATGCATATCAGTTCAGATTAGGTGCCTATTTTCTGCCAAAACTTCCAGACATTCTGGAGGTCACACAGTTAAAAACTGCATCAGTATTGTTTATTGTCTGGATTTCTTATACATTTATAGGCACAGAAGCACATATTTTTACTTTATAATTTTTTTAAATGAGTAAATCTGAGGGCTCATCAGATTTGTTCCTACTCAAAGTAAATGACTTCAGGAATTTAATAATGAGCTTCTAACTAATTTGGGAAAATAGGTAAAAACACATTAACAATTCTTTTAATCAACAATTTCAAAGTATTTGAGGTTTTTTTTTTTAAAAAAACATATCAGTTGTTCAAAGTGAGTCTTCCCTAAAGCACTGTAAATACAACTGATTTGCCTTGTCCAAAGGTGACTGACCCCTAGATTAGTACAGAACTACTGCCTGCAACTTTAAAACAAATGTATTTTTCCATTTGAAAAAAAAAAAAAAAAAAAAAAAAAAAAAAGGAAAGAAGTAGTAAAGTGGACTATATTTCAATAGCTTTTCTTTCTGATATCACTATCAGGAAACAAAAATTTATGATTTCCCCAAGTGGAAAGTTGAAGGCAAAGTCTAGACATGAGTGGCACATGAGAGTAGATTTTTTTTCCCCTTAGTCTTTGCAATTTGTATACGAGATCAACAAAATCAGAAGTAAAAAGCTCTAATAGTAAAGAGAAACATCTGGCAATCAAGCAAAGATTGAAATTCCCTTGATCAAGATGCACATCAGTTCAAAGACTTGACATTTAACTTCATGGATGCAAACAATTGGGACTTAAATATACCTAAGTAGAAAAGTATGCCTTGGAAGAGCATACAAGGTTAAATATCATTTGTCTCTTATGCAAAGACCAGAAATGATAAGGTTCAAAAGACCACTTGCTTATAAACTACTTATTCAGCTTTGTTGCTTCTGAAAAACTACCCAAAGCAACTAGCCTAGCATCAAAACTGAAAAGGAGGTCAGGCTAAAGTTACTAGGAGCATTTCTGTATAATTTTTATTCCAACTTCACATTAACTCAAAAGGTCTTGGACAAACACCCTATGATTTATAAGTTATTTAAGGTAAGTAGCAAAAAGTAGTCTCAAGAATATATCCCACTTTCACTAAAAGCAAGTTAATCTAGTATACTTGCTTTTTAATAACTCATAATTTGGAAATTATGACAAATATTGCATTAATAAGATCAGACATTTGCATTTGTTCTGCTAGACAGAGGAAAAAAATAAAAAAGGCTAAATCAAAATTTATCATCAAATGCAACATTATTTTTTCCTCATAAAATTCTTCAAAACAGAAGGTCAATTTTTATTTATGTACAGCATCAAAACTAGGAATAATGAAAGGTTTGATGGGGTAAACTGTTCAAAAAYATCAAAAAGAATAAGTTCTTATAGTCACAAACCCCAGTAATATCATTGCATAGTTTGTCCAGTTTAAYTTAAAGCCACTTCCATTTTCCTATAAAGTATCTGGCCCTGGTCTCTGTTAGAARTAGGGATATCAAATTCAGGTCTGCAAGTCACTACATGAGGGAGTATGACAAAGACACACATAAAGGATGCAAAGGTCTCAAAGGCCCTRACTCATTAATTGAGGATATGTTATATCACATACACTCCAATAGTAAAATAGAAAATGTAAAACAGCATCTTCCTTGAATATAAGATAAATTCCCCCCCCCCCAAAAATACACCTTGCAGTATCAACATTCTTAACATAAAAAGACYAATAGATATGTAAATACATAGAACATATGTAAAATACACATTTTAATCAGTATTAGAAATGAAAGGAAGTAATGACTCTGAAAAATGATTTTACTCATTTATGTGTTTTGATAAGCAGATAAAATACACTAAAAAAAAAAAAATCTTGCCTCCAACAGTAAGTTATACATGAAAGAAAACAAGAGAGGAAGGGTTGGGGTCTAAGTTGTTTCATCTACCCTTACTCACCAGGAGATTCTCCTGCCAAATCCAGGGCCTGGGATGAGTCTAGCGAAGAAACCACACTGACAGCATTTGCAGGAATACTCATAGGAGCCGTAGAAGAGGATATGGTTGATTTCTTCGGCTGTACAACCACACTCCTATTTGAAGGCATAAAATTAGTAAATACTGTATATGAAGTATACACCTAACAACCCTTATTTTACAAGTCTAGCATATGCACTTCTGCCCTGCAAAAGGATCAACAATAACTGTACTGTTCCTTCCCTATTGTCTTACACCATCATCTTTGGCAATTTATCTTTAACCTAGAAAACACTTCCTACTTCCCTCTTTCTTCTTATGCATAGCACAATATTTAAATATTTCACTTTTACAAAATCATGAACAAAAAAAATGGTTAAAAAATTATTTAACCTTAGTTCCCCTGAGATGTACTTTTAAACTCCAGACAACTATTTACCAACAATTTACCAAAGTATTTACCTCAGCACTTAAAAWGAAAGCAATAAAGGAAATATTTAACAGTAAGATTGTCTAGACATCATATTACGTTAGTAGAAGTAAAGACTTAATTGAAGTATATATATAATAGTCTAAACATATCAAAYGGTATCAGTGTGCACATATTAACATTTACAGAATCTCATAACTACTGCATGAGTTTTAGTACATCTGAAGAAGTTTTACAAGTATATAGCAAATCAAAATCTTAGGAGTAAAGAGAGAATCTCCATTCTTTATACAAGTTAAACTTGAGGCATTATACTCAGCATTATAAACTACACGAGAGCAAAACATGTAGACTGTCAAGTTAGGCATGGAGATTTATCTCCTATGTTACTAAGTCATCTATTTATGCTATACCAATYTCAATTAAATTGTAGCACTTTATTCCAAATACCTAAAAGGCCTTGTTAAGCATACGGTAAAGGCATTTTTAATTGCAAGTTAGCTCCATAAACATGCAAAAACCCAGCTAATGAGGTAAAGAGTACAGCTGATATATAATGCACTCCCACAGCAGCGCTTACTTTTAATTACCTGGCGTTAACCATAAGCTGAAAGTCTTCAACGTTCAATTTATTTAATCACATCTTTTGTTGACAGCACTATTACTACACACCCAAAGTACTCCCTTAATAGCTTTAAAATATTCATTTTCTAAATAAGRCAAATTAGAACTTGACCCGAATTCAGGTGTGATAGTAACAGTCAAACATTCTATCAAATATTTCTAAAATAATTTTTGCTAGAATGAAAAGTCTGCATTAACTCTCTTCATTTCAAAGCATGTCACAGGAGCTAGACCATGTTACCGATTAAATCACCCTTCTTAACAGCAGGAGTAGGCAGACACCATACCTGAGGGTAGTACATGTCATATCATTATAAGGGTGACTGCTAATGTTAACTATATACTAAAAAAAWAAAAGCGACAACACCTGAGCCCCAAGTCAAGATACCATGCCTAACCCATGCATTTTGCTCATATGTTCATGTCTACATGAACAGTAGACAAAAAAAAATTATTTACACTATCTTCTAAATTCTCTGCCTTACATACCAATTTTTCATTAGTCAGGTATAAAAGGAAGATRTTTTCCACATACTGCCAGATATCTGCTGTCTGGAAACTGATTGCTATTCTGTAGCGCACACTCAAATGCCAGGAAGGGTCAGAGAAATGAATGCCGATTTGCTGAGTACCAGGCGTAGGGGCACAATACTCAGCTTACACACAATAAACATTTGGACATTTTCCTCAAGTGCAGTACTGAAGCCTGCCTATGTTCCCTCAGGGGATTCTCTCACAGTTCTTGCACTATCAAGCTATGCGACTCAAGAAGTGCAGATCACGATTATTAATCCAATTGTACAGACATTGCAAATGTACTCATACAGAGAGTAGAGAATCTCAACATATGAGCTAGAAACACTCCTTTGCACACCCACTAAGTTACAGAAACAATTATCCATTTGGTAATAAGAACCTCACAACTACATTGCATCACAGGTATTGAAGGAGAATACTTCGGCACATACCACACAGAGATGGAGATGGTGTACATATGGTAGTCTCAGTTCAAAACAACAGCTAGCCCATATTATTACATTAATTAATTAAAAATTGGAAGATATGAATCACCTTGAGGGCTTAAAAACAATCCAGTTCCCAGCTCTTTTACCTTTAGAAAAATCTTATGTCTCCAGGATTTCAAGTCATTCAGCATTCTCTCAAATCATCAAATCTGAATGGCTTTGCCMCCTAAATGGCTATGAATCTCTTAAGAGTCCCAGGAACTATGAACCATTTGCGCAAACCAGCCCTGCACATATAYAGCTATACAAATAGCTATACAAATAGCTAAAAGCTAAACTTCTACTGATTTTAGATCATTTACACCTTTCTCTCTGGAATAAGAATATGGAAATAAACATACAAAAGTGACCAAGATAGAATTTTAGAAGAGGACAGAATTACTACAGCAGCTTCTTACATAGCTAATAACAATTYCTGAATTCTATGTGAGCAAGAAAGCTTCTGCAAATGGAATCGCTACCTTAGCACTCCTCATCTGTAGCTGACAATTGCTAGACACACAAAAAAATCCCAATATACCAGTCTTCCATTCTCTATGCTTTTCCTGACACAATAACTATATACTGTCATTCCTCCCTGCATACTTATATTGACCTTCAGCGTGCTTACACACAGCTGCACTGAGGGAGTAGCTTCAGCAAGTGGCCAGTCCTCCTACGGGCATCCAGAGAAGGGTGCATTACAGGCAAAGAAATTAGAGATGATTTTTTCCTGGGCTGCAGCAAATCCAAATAAATGACCACGATAGTCCCTTTGGCCTTTTAAGAGCTTTTGCCTGCCTGTAGAGTTTTGGTAATGCAAGTACAGCTGCTACTCTCATCTTCAGTAACTGTCTTTCCATCAAGGACATGAAAAAGGGATTACAGCCTAATACTTCCATTACTATTCTCAGTATCTAGCACAAGCATTCCCTTAAGGAAGGTTATGGATTACTAGAAGCAGGAATACAAGTCTAATGAAGACAAAGGACAGCTGTTATTGTGTTGTTGTTAATTACATATCATCATTCCTTTTATACTGGGAGCAGAAAAGGAGGTTGCAGTTCCCCTGCACCACACAGTTCAAAGATCTAACATACCCATGAATGCACTTGGATTCAAGGAACATCTACAAATAATTGCACATTCACAGCACCCAGCTGTGAAGTACAGAAGAACCTGTGCTGCATTAGCAGATGTGCACAGGTATTCCATATWGACATCCATATAGACATCACCATGAGAGACGTTAACTATTATTATATTATTTTCTATACTCAAAATTCTACTTTTGATCAGAAATGTTGCTTAAGACAGTGACCTTCAATAGCCAGCTGAAATGAATCACTTCCTTTACCTAAATAAAATAAATTGTATTCTTGGTGGGGGGAAAAAAGGTCTCTCTTCCCAACAGCAGTGTCAGTCTGACACACACAACCACAGGAAATACCAGAAATTGTACTCAAGAACCCAAATATGTGACATAAGGAAACCCCAAACTCTGAAGGTAATTTCTCTCTCTCCTGGACTGCTGCCATAAACTACATAGTCAAAAATGTTTCAAATATTTCAGAAACAATGAACTAAGATATCAAAGTGTTTTAACATATTTATAAKTAAGCTTGTGGCTTTATTTATAGCATAATCTTTCCTTCCAACAGTGCAACCAACCAACATTATAAGGATTCATTTTCAGAACTTCCATTTCCAGGCTTTCTTCAAAATATGATAGTAAGGCTTTGCGACTGCATATAGATTCATGTTTGTCATACACCAAAAAGCAAAATTAATAGCTTTGAAGCACAAACATTGGTCATAATTCTTTAAATTCTAGAATTCATATGCTGTTCCTGCTCTSTGGAATAATATGATATTTTCTCTGAACAGTCACATGGAAACATAACTGTGTTGAAAAAATACACATATTTGCTCTTAGATTCCTTTTTCTGTTTCTATCAAACGTTATTTAAAGGTTAATGTAAATAAAATAAATGCTATTATTCCATATATATGGAACTTTGGAGAAAATCAAGATTATTAAAAAAGTAGGTAACAAATTATGTGAAAAATATGGCATATTTAGCATATCTCTTATTAAATCAATAAATTTGTGTTACAAAAAATAATGGGTTTTCAGCTTCTCTCCTGTTATAGGGCACATTCATTTTGTAGAGTAGACAGAGAAGACCAAGTCCCTTTTAGCTTGTAGCTAAACTGGTAAGTATTGCTTGAAAAGTTAAATGTGCTACAGATTATAAAATCAGCCTAAATAYACGGTCAGTGTGTTGTTAGTCCCAATTATGCTGAAGTGTAAGAAGCCTCCGTGTTGCAGACAGTCATTCAGTGCTGGACGAGCACGGATCGCCGAGCTGGGCGCTGACTTTCCACACAGACAAAGCCTTGCATGATAATGATCTATTCTGCCAAATTGTATAAGGATTTACCTACTGAAAAGCTTGCATGTTTTCAGACCATGGATTTTTTTCATTGCAGAGAACAAAATATCTATAAATACTTACTAAAATTTGGGCACATTTTTCGTATTTATATTTTGAACATTGGCAAGACTGTCAGTAGTTTTAAAATGTATTTTAAGTTACAGATTTTCCTTGGGCTTGAGTCAAAGACTCTTTATACGACATGGGCCAGGCCAAACTGATGATCTCACTATAATTAAAAATATGTACATGAACAGTAATACCTCTTGACATACAAGAATTTATAAGGATTTGACTCTTACCATTCCATTTTTAGCACTGAACTGCAACACAGGTTGACAGTTTGCCTGTTTCCCTAGGGGACAAGGGTTTTAATCCAAAAATCAACAGAAGTTAGTCTTGCTTCAGGTTCCAGAATGATGACTACATGCAATGAGCAAAAGGCCCATAAAGAGGTTCTGAGATTTACTTTTACCTCTACTTTTAGGGACAGAAAAGCAGTCTACCACATCAATGTCATTCTCTGGGGTCTGCGGTCTGCAGATAATACCGATTCTTTTATGCTCCTCTTGAAATGAAATTCTTTTATGCTCCTCTTGCTTTTTCCCAAAGAGAAAAGAAGAATAAGAGACTCTCTCAAAACCAGAGATCAGAGAGACAGAAGAAAACAAAAAAACTCCAAAACATGCAAACAAACAGAGATGATGGAATGAATACAAGGCCTTCTGTAGTATTTGTGAGGGCTTTAGAATCAGCTTAACAGGAAGACTTGAAACTGCTTCATCAGCTTCTTCAAAACATGAGTTTTACAGGTGCTGGTCTTCTCATCACAGCACATGCACCTGGTCCTTGACCTAGAGATTCCCCATTCTCCTATTTTGTCTCTACCTACACCTGGTAATCTTCACCTTGTAAACAACAAAATCACTCTTTCCACATTCCAAGCCCATATCAACCAGGTCTAAACTGCATTTGATTCATACACAAAATTTTTCAGATAAAATTTAGCAGAAATAGGACCTTCAGCCACTAAAGGAGCACACAGGAGACAATCAGCAAACACATATATAGAGGATGAGGCAAGCCAAGCTGCTTACAGACAAAAAATTCCAAGAAGATCAATAGGCTCCTTAATGTATCTCTTGTGCAAGTTACAGGCTTAAGCTCCACAGCACAACACCATGACTTAGGAGCCTATATTCCTCTGCACCCTAAGCATCAGCTTATAATGGGATAAATGTTGGAAGTTTCCACAAAGAGCAGTAGGAGCCAGAAGCAATCAAGCTTTTATTTTAAATTATACAATAAACACAACAAGTTGCACATTATAGGTTTTATTAAATTACTTGAAGAGAAACTGCTGCCTTTTCCCCTGTGTGTTCCACCTTTTAAAAAAATAAAAAATCACTACCAAATAAGAGAACCCATGTTGTAGGACCCTGAAGCTAGATCATTAATTCAAGTCCCCGTGGATCCTGGGAAAAGGCCAATGCAAGCCTTGAACTTTATCACGATAAACTCCTGGCACCCACTAATCACGAGATTGCATCTTCACATAAGATAAGGGGAAGTTTTCTGGCATGGGAAGGAACACATACACCTAGTTGTTTGCAAAGGCTTGCCACCTGGCAGCCTTTCAGCAAAGTTTCACTCACATAGCTGTGACTGTATACTCTCCAGCTATGGCTGGGAAGTTGATAATCCCTAAGATATGAGGAGAGTTTTGATTTCTGACACAGCATTCCTGAGATAAATGCAGGATCAGAGAGATGCTTTGAAATTCCCAGAGATTCCCTACTGTGAAACTGCTACATGGGAACAACTTTTAACAGTGTCCTTAAATTTTAAAAAAAAAAAGTTACATGGTGAAGACAGAGCTTGTGTTTGCCATCAGACAATACATTAAATGCAAACCAGACATAGAAAGTTAAGAGTCCATCCTAAAGTCTCTTCTTCCAGACTTTCCCAATGTATTCTTAGTATTTTTGCACAGCCCCAGAGATAAAAGCTACTATTTCCAACTTTATTAGCTTCTTATAAAGCAGCTTTTCTTTTCCTAATCCAACTCCTTTACCCATTTTTCTTCACATGTTATTTCAGAGCATTAACTTGTATTTTAAGCAGAATTGCACCAAAGTTACAATCACTTTCCAGTGTTCATGAAACTATTCTATCAAACAGCTCTATTTAAAGTAATGTATACACATTATACCCTATCATACATCAACATATTTACCATAGAGGCAAAATTGTTCATGTCCCTACCAGATTATAATTGACCAAGGATAAGGCTTTTACTTATATATCCATTAAGAGCACTTTTGTCTCCCTGATATAAAGTAAGGAAACGAAACGTTCCGCCACCTAGAAACACACAGCTGTTGACATATCAGAGGTCACATACAACTGTTGATGGACTAAATATTTTATAGTAGCTCATGACCTTTTCCTCACATATTTAGCCCCACCTATAAAACATAAAAAGTCATAGGAGGACTTTTGAATAATATCCTCAAGTCATCATTGTAGAATAGTTGAGGTAACTACAGAAACCTCTACAAAACCAAGGAAATGTTTTGGAAGGAAAACAGGAATAAACCTTCAGGAGGAGTCCCTGAAAGCACCAGGGCAGCAGCAGGGATAGAGGGACACAACAAGATCTAAGAAAATTCAGTCTCTCCCTGCCACGATCCTCCTACTGCCTGAAAGCATTTTCTCCTGTTCAGCACCCATGAGCAGAGCACAGTATTTACTTTGAGAGAAGCATAAGGGAGCATCTTTCAACGCACACAGTAACATCCCATGATTTGAAGAGAATAGCACAATATCTTCCTGATTAACTTGAGTCATGTCAAGGATTGTGCCTCTAAATCAATTTATCTTAACTACATTAAATACTAGATGACATCGAACACAATCTGCTAAGTTTGTTGTTGTGGTTGTTTTCCCCTAATCCTTAGARCAAGCTTAATTAGCCCAAATATTTCAAGAGTTACATTACCTGTCAAAGGAATGGAACTGCACAGGTTGCTCAGCAGCTGCATCGCCCAGAACTCCAAGGAAGGCTGCTGGCAGAAGAGCAGGATCCACGGCCGCCCCATCAGCTGGTGTGCTCACCAGGCTTCGCAGAATGTCCTTCACGTTGACATTTTTTGCAGTTGGCACAGAAGCTGCACCCTTACTGTCATTAGTTTCTGCGTCGCTTCTGCCCTCCTGAGATTTATTTACTTCCAACGAGAGTGTGGATAGTACCTCACTGATAGCATCTGGACCTGGAATGACTTTCGGAGGTTCTTCAACAGCACTGTCTGAGCTGTTTGCTTGACTCGAAGCTGGTTCCTCTCCGAGACCCGAGTCCCTTCTTCGTACAGATGCTGTACTTTCAAAATCTTCAGTGAAGACTGAAGATGAAGCATCGAGAGCAGTAGATGGGTTTTCTACAACTTTTCACCACAAAACACAGAAAATACATTTTAAATCATTATTAATAGGACTACATTCATCATATTGCTTTAAAAGAGTAACATCAACAGGTGATGGGTGAAATAACAGTTCTACATATTTCCCTTCCTACCTATTTAGAGAGTACTTAATAGGAAGCTTAAGTCTTTTTAATTTCTGAAAAGTCTGAAAGTTTCTAATATTCCTAGTTTTAAAAACAAAGAAAMAGAAAGTTTTGACACAACATGCAAAGAATAAAAATGAAATAATAGCCTGAAGGAAAAGTAGAAGGAGAAAGAAAAAAAAGCCAGTCTTCCAGTGAAAACAAAAGGTGGCCAGTCTATGCTTACATATATTTAACCTCAAGCAAGACAGCAGTCTTTCTGTGATAAGCATCCGTTTATATTTAGTTACATCACTGAGACTAATCATTCTCTACATGGCAAAAATCTGTGGGTTCTTCTGAAATCAGACACATGGAAACTGCACACAAACATTAAGGTAGATTAGATCGGATATTATAATGTTAAGTGCTTAGAAGTGGTATATTTTTTATACAGTCTCAAATGGACTTCTGCAGACTCTTAAGATACACAAGTCACGCTAAAAATATTGTTTGTCCAAATAAAGAACAATTCACCTGCAGTAGAAACAGTAGTTTCATTACTTCCATTCTCTGATGCCTTGAATGACTGGCTATGAATAGGTGGTCTCCTTTCATTCTGGGGTTCCAGTATATCTCTGTATTTTGAGACCATCAGCACAGAAATGAAATATACTACAGCCAAAGCCAAAAATTGAGCCTGTTTACTATCCTCCTGTAAAAAAAGAACACACACACACACACACAGATTTTCTATTACAATTTCAACAGCATGCTTATTTTTCTATAAAGTATGCCCAGTGCTACCATAAACAGACTGAGAGTAAGTTGATTATGTTAGCAATGGAAGAACATTGTTCTCTAGTCACAGTTTGCCTCATATAAAGCAAGGGAATATAACAATTCTATTCAAATGGCACTAATCCTTTCATTTTCCTCATAAAGTATGCCAAGTTTGATTAAGGTTATCTGTTTTGACTATGTGTTTCAAATTAGTTCAGGGAATAGGTCCTCTTTATGTATTAACAGGTGTTTCCTCTACTAAACTTTCCCTCGATTTTACCAAGCTATTACCAGCATTTGCTGTGAAGCACTACCATGCAAGCATACTCAAGAAAACTGAAAAACCATTTCTAAATTTTTATGTTCTAATTGAAGCAAGTGGAACAAACTCCAAAGTCTAAATTAAGGTTTCATTTCACCTTCATATTGTACAGATGGATGTACTGTATTATGCAGAAGTTAAGCAAAAGAAGCAATCATTCATTTGTATTATTGTGCAACTCTATTAAGAGTTTTTTTTTTTTTAAATAACTTCAAAATAAACCTTAATATGAGCTATTTCAAACGTCTCTTCCAGGCAGTCACTTACTCCTAGTGAAAGATAGGAAAGAGCTACAGATCCATGCAAGACTTGCCTTGCCAGGCAAGGATCTGATTATTGCCTGTTTCCTTTAGGCTCTGGTCAAAAAATCCTTGCAAGGCTTAGTACACTCTGGCATCACAGCAGAACTGAATATTTGTGGCCTCACTGAGCCATCAGTGTAAGAAAGTTCTCCTCCTCTCCCCACCCGAGCCACTCTAGGAGAAGATGATGAGATGTATTTGATAAAAATAGAAAATATAGCTAGGTCCCATCTGTTATACTCAAAGAAGTCACCTCTCCCCATCTCTGAGATTTTTAGAAGTAAAATAATGAGTACATAAAATGATTCAATCTTCAAAATTATTCACATTGGGATTGTTTTTATTTTACTGTCAGTAGTATGACAGATCTACTTCCTCTTATTCTTCTGTAGCACACCAATGCCAAAGTACAGATTAAAAGACATTTGTTTCCATCAGTAATTACTATAAAGATAAAAAAAAAAGTTGCTTCACTATTCTAGTGAGAAGGAAAAGGCACCGAGTAAATTATACTTGCTAAATAGCCCAGTTACTGAAAACTATTTCGAACATCCAAGCTCACGGTCACCAGCGACTTAGAGCCATTAAAACTACTGTATTTGCTTACAGAGGTTTTTTTTTGAGGAATCTACTTAAATTTCTTTAGTATCAGCTATAAAACTGCTGACATTAGGCAAAGTTATTTTTAGTCAACTCAAGTTAAAAAAAAAAAAAAAAAACACACTAGGAACATAAATATATAAATAACATACAAATTAGTTCCTCTGAAGGGAAATAAAGGAATCACAGTTCACCTCTAATTTGTAATTAGCCAGTAAGTTAGTCATTTCTCACAAACAACCTTATAAATATTCAGTAATTTGTCTGATTGGGGCATGTGAAAAGTACATATTTGCACTAGACACAACATCTTTAACATAAAAGTCTTGAAGGCCCTAGGCAGAATTCCAGAGAGTCGCACCAAAGACCCTGACTGGCAGGCAGTGTTTTTTAACCCTCGTTCCATCCAATTCCCAACACTACAAGAGCTGCAGAGCATTGAGCAGACCTGGTTACTGTAAGTATTATACAATTTTTGCAAAGTCAGTTCAAGCAACCTATGTAACACATAGCAAATGTTCAACAAACATATTCAGAAATCTGCCAACAGCAACAAAAAAAAAGTATCTGTAACTCACTATGTCTCTGAACACCACTGCTCGAAGTCGATTAATATCCATATCCTGCAGAAGTCTGTCATGGTCTCGTATTGGAGAAATTCCACCAGTCACAACGTCCACTGGACTCTGCTCAAAAAGAGCAAGTGCTTCAGATTCAGTTCTTAAAGCATTCTACCAAGAATCACTAGTTGTACAGTGTTGTATTTAATAATTTCTTAGCTCTTGCAAGGTAACACTTGGGAGAAAAATGTCATATTTGATGTGTTCAAAGCATCAAGATCAGATGTATATTTCAGATTTAAGGAAAACAAAGAAAACCACACAAACAATTTGGTAAAGTAAATGCTTGTGACAGTTATTTCACTGTGACAGGTTAAATATGTGTTAAATTCATAGCTTGAAAGAATAACTTCAGGATTTCCAGGGTTCATGCTGTTCAGCTCCATAAAAAATTCCAGTGGTGCCAGTAACAAATTTAAACACTTATCTTTCTGTCCACAATAATAATTAATATTTGCGTGTTGGAGCATGGCCAAAATGGTCACAAACTTGCCTTTGCTGCAGATCTTCCTGCTCCTGTAAGACTCTGCATCATTTTTTGGTTCTTGACAGTGTCTCCAGTAGGTTTCATCTGTGCATACTGCTGGCACTCCAAGCAATTTCTTACTGCTACTGCACATACTTGAAAGGAAAAGAAGTGTCAATAACTCCACTGGAATTATTTTATCTATATTCCTTGCAGAGATACATATACATGTGTGCATAGTACACTTATGTTTTCCACTTAAATTTCAAAGAAATTAGTAAAAGAAAAGTTTTTTCCAATAAATTGTAAATAGTTGCATAACAATGCTCTAAATACTTATAGTAATAACTAAAAATTAATACTAAACTATTAGAACACATATATAATAAATCCTTCAAAACAAATAGGTTAGTATTGCTATATCCTTTCTTCATCTCATTAAAATGTTACCATGCACACCACCTTGGGGAGTGAGAAGAGTAAACACAGCTGTATTTCTCGCCACAGTCTAACAAAGAAAAACAAGAGCTATACTAGTGAAACAAATGATAAAATTTGGTTTACAGTGACTTGTAACTCTCAGGCTAAACAAGTTTTTTTTTTTTTTTAAGCTTCACAATAGCACCTGTTTTAACTTCTAATATTATTTTCAAAAGAAAAAAGAACTACCCCACCTCTATACCTGTTTGCATCCCATAAATCTTGTTCTACCTGCAAAGTTTTAATTGCCTAGAAAGGGAGAGGAAGGCTAGTTACTCTTGAGGCTCTGAGCTGCTCTAGCACTCATGCAAATTACATTTTTTGTAACAACAAAAGAATTTAGAGCATGCAATTGGCATGAACACTGCCCTCTCATATTAACTAACTAGACCCAGATTATGATCTCGTATGCTCCCATTTTTAAAATAGTCATTAGTGTTCTTCACATATTGATCACTTGCAATTCAGTTCACCACAAATATACAACAATGGGTCTGACAACTAACTCTTCAAAAATTTGTTTCTAGCTACCACCACATTTTCCTCTACTGATCTTCTTTCATAGGCATTGCAAAGGTTCATACTTTTATATACAATGCAAGATTTCTTTTCCCCCCCAACACTTTCTGTTTTCAGTCTTGATTATTTTAGGAACTTTGGCAAAAGATTAATCTTCTGGATAAAATCAATACATGCATCTAACACTGAGGCTATCAGAACTTATTTTAATCAGTTATTTCAACTATTTAAACAGGACAAAACATGTAAGTATTGTACAGCAGCACAAGAGCAACACAATAAAAAAAAGTCAATATACTTTTCACTAGCCTTAATTTTAATTAAAAAAATAACAATAGTAATCACTTCATAGTTTGCTAACTATATGTTCATGAATTGGTTTTATTGGCTTACCCAGACGGAGACACTGCCGCAGAATTCCTCCAGATGACATATTTTTCTCAGACTCAATATCAGTGAAAACAAGGGAGCTTGCAAAAACTAACACATCCACAAGGTTGATTAGCCTCTGGAGAAACGCTAAAGACGCTTCTACTGAAAGTCCCTGAGTTGGCTCAATATGCTCCAATTCATGCTGCAAAGTGAAAAACATGAAGGCAACATTTACTTATTTATGAAAATAATTCCTCATACAGCCTAAAGAAGAAAAGTGTATGCTGGAAGTCCATTTCTAGTCAGATTCAAAAGTAGCAAAGGACTAATCAATTGTATTTTGGAGTGGGGGGGTAGGAAAACAGCATTAAGATTTAATCCTACTACAAACCATCTTGGGACAAAGATGCTCTCTTAAGTGACCTCTTTTTACATATTCAGGCAAGAAGTGCAGACAAATAATTTCTCAGAGGAATCAGAGGTAGCAAAGGGTGCAGAGGGAGGAAAAAGGATTTTCTGGAAACATATTTTCTTTCTCCCAAAACAACAAACAGAATGGGTTAATATACTATATAAAGAGAGGCATCTTCCCACAGGAGAGGTTTTTGCAAATAAAAATGCTATTTCTTACCGTAGCAGATGTAGCAGCAGAAAGCAAGGGCAATATGCCACCACAAGCCATAATCATGTTGTCCATTACTTGAGAGATGAGGTGAATTGTGTTGTGTACAAATATGCCATTGTCACTGCTATTCACAAAGTCCATCACAGTTTTTGTAGAATGGCTGTCCAAAACACAGGTTTTGCAAAAAAACATTCAGAGTAATACTTAGAGTACAGCTTTCTTTTTGTGATATTTTTCCATCTATGTATTCAAAAGACTCAAACCAGAGAGTAAGCAGTGGTGCAGCAAGTATCACATGACCACAAGGTTCAACTGGCATACCTTAATTTAACCCCCAAAACTATCCTTCCTTTTGTTCTTAATCCTCTCCAGATCAACGTCAAGATGTGTGTAAATGATTATTTGGATAAAGATACATTAAAGATTGCTCTATGATTACCTACTACAGCAAGAGTCACTTAATCAATACAATAATGYTTCCTAGGAGTATAAGCTAGATTTGGAAAGCAAAGTAATCACTAACCACTTCTCAAAGAAACTAAAGCTACACCCAAAACCTACAGGGTCAAGATTTCAGTCAAAACTACATGTGCAGGTCATTTACCATTCCCCACTTATATTTGTAAAAAGCAATTAAAAATACAAACCATAAATCTGAGAATATTTAGATATAGGGCACAAAATAATTAAAGCTACTTTATAGTGGCAGATGTGAAAACTCCAAAGTCAACAAGTGACTGTGATGCAATTTCAGCAATTTCAACAAGTTCTCAGGTGAATCATAACACCAACCTGTATTACTGTATGTAAAAAGCATATACATTTACCTTCTCCACATCTGTATATCTGTTTCTATGGAGAAGAGCAAGTCTGTGAGCAAGCGCTGATGCATCAGGGACCACTTAAACTCAGGAATACGGAACACAGTAGACCTGGAGTCTCTCTTTTGCCCATCCGATGTAGTTGCTAGTTCTTGACCTGAAGAATCTTGCTGCCTTGAAGTCTGAATACATAGTTTGCAGACAAAAAAACCCAAAATCCTTCAAATTAGTTTCTGCAGCACATACAGAAAAGCATTTTACAAACTTTAGAGCTCAGACAGTGCACAAGCTTAGCTAGTACACACAGTTACAAATAATACTAGAGCTATTACACAAACGCTATGCAGTGGATAAACCAAACCTACAAACTAGGCTACAGCTGCGCTACCATGCCTGCCATCCTAGGCATATACAAGCAGCAACTCAACCTTACCACAGGGGCAGTATCTGTTGCTGTAGATAATGTTTTTCCTCCTTTGAGGAAGAATGGTGTAGAATGAAGAGCATCCATTAGCAGGAATCTCTGCAGAAAGGAAGTACTCAGATAGGTGACTATTTAACCATGGGAAGTAGAGTTTGAAACTAAAGACTACAGGGGTGAAGAAATGCAGTAGACAATAGAAGTCTTGACATGGTAAAATGACAACCTTGTCAAATTGTGTAGTTTGAAAAAAATATGTACCTTCAGAGTAGCTAGTATAAAAAATATTCTTATGGGTTCCATCATGACACAGAAAAAGAAAATAATCAGCATATCTCTGCCCATATCTTTGCCTCTCAAAATCCAGAGGTCAATTATCAGAGGTCAGATTGAAAAAGAGTAAAACRGAGGCTGAGTAAAGAGACAGAAGAAATTCCAGATAAAATAATCTCAGATTATATAAAAAAGTTTCTTTCTGTTCTTAAAACAGAAGAATAGCAGTATCAATGCAGACTGAGGTATCATCTAGCCCAATACTCAGTATTCTAGAACGTCTATGAACAGAAGTACGAAGAATAACTTAGAGACTTCTCTAAAGACTAATTAATAAGAATTACAGTTATTTAATCAAGAGTTAGATGTGTTCTTCAGATAATTCACAAAATCCATTCATAACAAAATTCCCAAAATGTCGACAGGTACATTTTTTTCTTACTAAAAAAAAGAAACAATTAAGCACTCCCATTTGTTTGTAAGCTAGACACATGAAGGACAAGCAGAAGTTACCTCAGGTAGGGGTCTGGGGGGCAAAGGTGCTTCTAGACTTGTACTGGCTTTCAATTCCAGTTTTTCTGTATCTGATGCAACGCTAGAAACATCAAGCTTGGCAATTCTTTTCGCAGAGGCTCCAGCAAGCTCTGGTACATGTACACTGGCATCCACTTCAGCTGTTCTGGGTTCAGTGAAAAGAATCTTTTCTTCCTCCAGCTTCTTTTCCCCTTCTGAATGCATCTGAGTTGCTACTTCTTGAACTGCAGAACTTGCTGTTTCCGATAAGGAAGCAATTYGTTGCTTTTTCCTATCTATATCGTCAGCATCTTTGGATTTTAAAAGCACAGATTCAGCTTCTTTCTCAATGACTTCATCTTGCTTTGATCCTTGATTTTCATGACTAATACATTCTTCAGCTGTTTCTGCTACCTCTTCTAGTGGTAAAGGTAAGCTACTTTCCTCTTTCAAATCAACAAAGCCATCTTCCTCTTCCACATCTAGTGTTGATTTTCCCACTCCTTCTGGATTTTCAAGAGTTTCTCCTTCCAATTCAGTTTGCTCCCCTAAAGAAGCATCACCAACAGCTGTTTTTTCCTGCACAAGTTCCTGTGCTTGGCTTGGGGAATCTTCAATTGCTTCAGCTATTCCAGTACTAATTTCTGAAACAGTGGGCTTTATTGCTCCAGSCTCTGGAAACAATTCTGAGCATGACACTGCTTCCAAATTGGGGGCACTCTCTCCACCTTCCCCCTCCAATTCCTTCCTTTGATGAGAGACCGAATGAACGTGTTGGTCACCATCCGATGAAGGCTCRGATACATTTTTTTCAGTACTGCACTCCACATCATCTTCAAGAATACAGGATGGAGCAGCAGCAGCAGCTTCTTTTAACTCCAAACGAGGTAGTTTTCCTACAGTTTCAGCTTCCTTGCTAACTCCAGAGACCGTTCTAATGGGAGCTGAAGGGCTTATTGCACTCCCTTCACCTCCTTTCTCTTGATATTCTCTGTACATTTGAGAGAGATTCTCTTTGTGCATTTCAAAAGTTACCTGAAAGAACAGAATTGTTGGGAATATATTAAAATATGCTTTTTAATGTATTTGTTCCATAATGTTGATTCTGGAAAAAAAAAGGGGGGGGGGGGGCAACAAAATATTCTATCCAAGTTATAAGGTTATACCCTAAACTTATATTGCATGCTGTTCTCAAAATACCATAAAATGCAAGGTTAAAAAACATTTCATATTGCAGATCACTAACTTAAAGCAAGTAAATAAAGATTCCAAAAAGACCCCCAAACAGGAATTTGGGTATTAAAGTACTCTGAGTTTGCAAAAATATTCTCACTTAAGACTTCTTTTAAACAGGGTGCTATTTGCCCAGTCTGTCTAAATAGAAAGATGTAAACTACACAACCTGAACAAAATAAGATGACTTTCCAAAGGAAAAACCAGAAGCAGCATATTGTTTGAAGTGTACAATAAAATCAGAAAAGGAGTGATTACATACATAAAAGTTGAACGGGTTTGCATTTTATATGCTTCATGTATGTCAATTCATACTATGCTGAAGAACAAAATCCATTTGTTTCCTGATCCCTTCTCAACAATTTGATAACTTATTAATCATCAATTTCAGACACGGTCAAGTTTTCATTTATTTTTGATACATTTAAACTCCTACTACCTTTTCAGCAATGGGTCCACAGCAACTAGGCTGCATCCAAGCAACTTCCTACACATCATAACTTCTCATTTAAACTGGAAGGCACTTAAAACTTCAGTGCTAGAAGAAAAGCTCATCCAGACATAAAACTTCCTGCTTTGGAAAACTGAAAGGCACTATCTAAAAAATAGCCACTATCTCAACAAAGTTCTTTATGAGAAACAAATGCTTGCTACTAATCAATGCATCCCAATTGCCCCATATTACCTTCGCTCTTTTGTCTCTTAGAGAGTTTTCTGCTGCATGCTTTATAGTTCCTAACAATACCTATATTATCAACATGTGTGTATCTATGGTGCCTATCTGAGTTTATTTCAAATATTTAATTTATGAAGCATCCATCCACAAAAAGCTGGAGTAGTTGTTTTTTGGTTTGGGTTTTTTTTTTCCCCCTTCAGTTAAGGCTACCAAAAGATACAATTATGAGTTCTACTGGGTGTACAAGTCAGACAACATGCTCTTCTTTGAGCATATTGACAATATGCTCTTCTTTGCCAAGGTAGGGCTGATCAGTAAAATACACACACACATATTTGTGCTAAAAGGATGTGGTAGAATTCATCAGTCTGCTGCATCACTCTGGAAAGCAAACTGATGTGCATTTCAGAATTGTTACAAAAGAAAGGCCAAAACAGGGCAGTGTTAATCTTTACAGATTGGCAATATAAGCTTACAGGCAAATAAATTCAATCATAAATCCATGCAGCTTCTTAACAGATTAGGGGCAACAAGAAACACATCCTTTGAGACAATTAAAGTTCTGGCTTGCACCCAGAACTACAAGAGTACCTCACTTAAAACAAAACAAAAAATTAAAACAGAAAGCAATTTCTACTCCCACCATACATATCACAAATCAACATTTCATGTCATGTAACAATTAGTGATTTAAGTAGTGTGATTTAAATAATATGTAAATCAAATATCAACACCCCAAATTAGGTAGACTATCTACAACACAGGATTCTTCAAACTTGCATTTCAGGTTTGAGGTTTTCTTATCAAAAATGTAAACGATTTAAAGAAATACTGCTTTTCAAAAATCAACTTTTCAACAAAGCTGCCTAAAATTTTTTTGCTCACTATATTGATCTTCAAATTGGATGGATAAGAAAGCAAGAAACAGTGTTACTATCAAGGGGTTTGACAGTTCTTCCCTCCCACACTTGTCCCATGGCATGGCAATTATAAAGCATACATATTCACAAAGTCAAACAATATATCATACAAAGAACATATTTAAGATTAACACAATATCAAGAAAAATACAAAATGAAATAGAAATCACTCTGAATAAATACAGGTAGACAGAGATAACATGTAAGAGTACTTAGAATTAAATATTAGGAAGTACAAACTTGCAACAATTTAAAAGGCAGCTATCAGCTTGGAGAACCTCACATGCACTGAAGTCATTTTTTATTTCCCTTTACACATTTGCAACTGTAAAGCTGATAATACAAAATTAATTACTAGAAATTGTTCTAAATTAGTGAGCTAAAAGGCCAATCATTAATCTTCACCATCATTTGATAGTTAATCCATAGCTGCTGCAATGTTTGGAATGCATCTCTACGCACTACTAGTTAAGGACACTTGTGAGCTAATAACTACAACATTTGCCTCTGCCATTAATTTTAACTTGACATCCAACATTTACTAATTGCCAAGGAGAAAAAATAGCATACAGCAAGCAAAAAGGTTAAGATGATTGACATTTGCATTAAAGAACACAGTGAAAATATTTCAGTAATGTGTTAAGATTTTGTCTTTTCTTCTTTTCAGGTGGGCAATTTTGTGGAGAAGAGAGGCACGTTGGCCAAGCAGGTCAAACAATTACATGGTCCTCCTGTTTCCATACAGCTTCTGCTCCTGCAAACTAGTTCCCATGCAGCAGATTCCAACAAACCCTTCATAAATCCAGAAATATATTCCATTTTTATCCGTATCCACTTYCCCACCAATATTCTCAGTTCAACAGACAGACCTCACAGTTCAAGAGACAAACTCTCCATGAAATACTTCAAAAAACAGCCACGTCTTGTGCGCATTTGATACTTAATCCTCAAAAATATGCTGCAGTCAAATGCAGAGTTTGCCACACTGCACATCCCTATACCCAGCTGCCAGCTTTGTGCACTTGGCCATTTGACCCATCAGTCTCCATGTGTTGTGGGAAGCCCTGAAGCTGAGGTTCCACATCCATCCGTCCAACATCTGGCCCAGAAGTATTTTCCCATTTGGTTGCCAAATGTGGCAGAGCCACAATGAAGAGTTTGCAGTAAGAAAGAACTCTGCAGCAACACTAAAGATGACCACTAACAATTTTCCATTCTGCAGGTGCAGGTCCCATCCTCYAGTATTTTTACATATGCAGCTACAAGGATGAGGATCCACTCTATTTTCAGGTATTCTTTGCATAGTAAGAACTCCTTAAAGCTCTCTTCAACTGAAAAATTGTTTCTTCATTTCTTTATCAGACATCCTGGGTATTTTTAAACCACTAGTTCATCTCTATCACAAACTCTCTTCTTTTAGGCTTCTGTGCAGCTCAGTTCATTCAGCTGATGCTGTTCTTTCCTGCTGCACAAATTCTCAGTCTACGTTCCTCACTCCATTCCCACCTTGGCTTCACTCACTTCTGCCTGTTTGATTTACCCAAATTCCAGCATCCCACAGCTCCTCCCACATTTAACATTCCACTTACACAGAGTGGCTAAGGAGATGGAGGAGCTCTCCATTAAATCTATGTGCTGCACACATAAGTAATTCCACACTTTCTAGAAGGTACATAATTTCAAAGGAGTTGAACACTCCAGTTTGAGTTCCTTGAGCTCTCCACAAATTACGTGGCACTTATTCCCCATTGTTTTTCAAATCCCTGAGAATCTTTTCTATCTGGAACTAGTAATTCTTTTTATAAGCAGCTATTCTATGATAAAAAAAAACTTCTATTTAAGCATTTCAAGTGCACTGAATATAATTCATGTCTCCCTCAGGTTTGCTTCATAACACACAGGGTGTCATATCTAAMAGCCAAAACCCTACAATTATACCACGATGCTCTTGGCTAATTAACTCYGCTTCTCAGAAGAGAAACACAGGCACTCTGGAAGACTGAAGAAGCCTCTGAAATCTTCTCTACACCCCAGAGCTACCAATGCCTGCAAACCCCACARTGGGAGAGAGACCTTTTCTTCTGCAGAGATAGGGGCACAAAAGGAGACCCATCAGCCCTTGACAATTCATGAGTGCCAAGTGGATCTGAACTCCAGAGATCTGAATAGTCTGCTCCATTCTAAACCACAAAGCTATATTCCCTTCCCCATAAATAATGYCTGACCAGTGCTGCTTCTGCCCATTTGACCGCAACAGCAGCAGTGATGCAAGTCTGGCAAACATAATACACAGACTCCATACACATCGTGCCTTCTTCTGAATTAAATGAGGCATCTCCCTCACTGATCACTTTTCCATGCTTATTACAGTTGGACTTGCTGAAATTGAAAGACAGCAATTATTTAAAATACACTGTATGATAAAAACACAGTACRAAGGTTTTAGGATTATATTTCTTTCTATTTAGATCAGTGAACAAGGTTCCAAAATTCAGCCTCCATGTAGTATTAACATTCCTGACTTTTGCTTTGTGTTACTACAAAGTTCAGATTTTACCCAAGTGACTTCTATTTAACATAATGCAGAAACATGAAACATCTTTTTAAGGAATAAAATMTTTTAAGGGCCTGGAAAAAGTTTTTTTGTAGTAATAGTAGTTTAAAACACTGAAATTATTTATTAGAGTATGGTGCTGTATAAACATATATTGTTTTAGAATTCGGGGAATCTGGAAGGTCAAAAGGCAAGTTGTGTACCTCTCTTTATGTGTTTCCTATTATCAACCACCAAGCCATTGGTCCTTATTGCAAAGTAAGGCTCCTAGACAAAAGGCCTAGCTAGCGTGGTTGTAAGGTTTAGACATCAGAAGTTTTTAGTTGCTTTCACAAATTCAGTGCTCTCTGATTAGAACTAACCCAAGTTTGGTTTTATATTTTTCATTTTTTATTGAAGCAGCAGCTACAGATTAAACACATTTATATACAGTGTTGTATTTGCAAAAATATATATGATATGGAAATTAGGAAGTACATGAGCAATACTAAGAAATGTAGCTTTAAAAAGGTTACACACACCTTTTAAATTTTGACTGCAAGGAAACCAATGTAATGCAATTATGCTAGAAAAGCCATTGCTGCTTATAAAATGCTGTGCAGCTGTTGGTGGAGTGGGTTACAGTGACAAACAGCTTCCCTGCTACAAAGGTGGCAGGAAATCTATCAAACTGGACAATAAAATTGCAATTGAGTTTCTTTGGCTTTTTATAGCAGCTGCATGTATCTTGATGTGTAGCTCTGCAAAATCTATCCAATTCTGCAACACTAGTCCTTTATATACTAGTTCTTTATCATAGAATGGTGTTATAAATTAGTGGTATGAATGGAGCAAAGGGTTGTAAAAAGGAAAAATAAGCAGTAACCCAATACAATTAGAGATGAAATACTTAAAAAAAACAAATTGGTTACTCTTAGCAACATTAAGGAAATACTTTCGCTCCCATAATTCCCAGATTACTCTTAAAGCATACTAGAAATCAAAAACATCTGAGATGCACTTAGCATCTAAAAATCTGCCCACTGAATTATGTCCACAGCATGCTATCTCTCTCCTATATGAATTTCAAAATTGGTGTAAGAGAATGTTAATAAGAGGGAAGAATTAAAATTTGATTATCATTGGATATTAGGACCATCATATATGGTCATTTTCAAGTCATTAGTAAGTTTTGGTGACAAGGAGCTTTTTCTATGATTTACTCTAATTTATGTTTAAACAAAAATGGCTATGAAGCATCATCTAGCTTTACATGGCTACTTGTGTGAACTGCCAGTGTTACTTACCAAAAAAGTTCAAACTCCAAATGCACAAAAAAGGTGAAAAAATCATACCTAAGAATCTCCAAACATATTATTCACGTCATTATCACTAGGTTTATTTCAGAGTGCTTTTGTTGCTTAATTTTCATGCTCCTTTATGCTTCTGGAGCTGAATAATATTAGCATTAACATCCAAACATATCCACTTTAAACCCTTCAAAACTGCAGTACCACTACCTCTACTCACACACTTCTAAATCTTGCCAATATTCAACTTCTGAAATAGGCTAGAAGAACAAGCAGTCCTTATATATTGACCTGAAAGCCAACAAATCTGGGAAAACTGAAATAGGAAGCTTGTATTCTCACACTATGCCAGCATGCCAAGAACTGAAAATAAGAAACAGGAGGAGTCAAACACATCATATTTGGATCCACTATGGTACTGTGCTAAAATATATGCATTTAAAAACAAAAACAAAACAAAATGAAAAACCTAAAAGTAACATTATCTACAAATCCCCAGCTTTTTGGTGTTTTCTGAAAACAGATTCCTTCTCTCAATATTTTAGCCTACAGGATCACTAAAAATCTTTTTCTTTTCTCCTGTATAAACTCTAGTATAAATACATAAACACATTAAGTTACAGGATTAACGTGTAATATTAATGACCAGAAATACATGTTAGTTTCTTAACATAGATTTAATTAAGATTTCATCCATTAAACTAACTTAAACTCATGAAAAAGTCAAAGAATAGAACAACTTAAAAGCACAAAATCATTTTTAAATTCAAAACACCGAAGCTGTGTAAGACAGAGGGRAAAAAAAAAGGTGGCCTTCCTCCACCTCTCTTTCTTTCCCTAGGGACAGTTCCCTAGCAATTCCAAGCAAGCAGGGTTTTAAATTTTACATTGGCTATGGAGTAAAAGGTTGTTGACTTTGCTGTGCTACAGTCTATACTACCTACCCCCTCTCATATTGGGGCAAAGAGAAGAAATAGATTTCTGAGTTGGCACAAAAGATGATTAACGTATTTTTGTACAAACACAGCATGATCTCAGTATGGGTTAAAATTTGGCTGTGATTAACCTGTATAGCCAGGTTAATGTTGCTTTGTACACTTTTATTGCCTTCCCCTAGCCAAATAATCCAATTCTGAAGCTACAAAAGACATGAATAGAGGTCCAAAATAAAGGTATTCATGTTGTCTCCAGAAATTTCTTCAATTCATTCAAAATAAAGGACCCTCAGAAATACTAATCACTCCTCAGAGCTATAAAGTGATTATCAGGATTCAGATTTCTTACTTTACTTAGTTAATTTATACAAATTTAGAAATACCTACTTTACAACTTAATGCAAAAATAAAATCTTCCATTACTATTATATAGATCTTGTTTTTTTGTATTGGAAAGGAAGCAGGGGAGTTGTATTTTACACTGCAATACTAGACTGAGATTCACTAATGACTTTTATGACAAAATTTGGCACTTCCTCCTCCTGAAAAAATAGAGACAAAAAAAATTCTAACAGAAAAATCATGAAGGTTAATGGTCTTATTCATACTGCAAGGATTTGCTTTCTCATTACGCATCTCATGAAGGCTTAACTGAAATGTTTATCCTAACTTGATTTCTTTGCTTTTTCCTCATTTGTTTTAGAGCCTTTTGATGTTTCTAAATGAGATTTTTGTTTAAGAATAGACATGGTACGCCACCTTGTGTTCATGCCATTCTGAAAAGCCAAATCCAGTATCCACATCCATCAGAAATGTTCCTGAAGTGTAACTATCTAATTTTTGAAAATATTTACGAGCCAACATTAGCATCCAAACAGTATACTAGCACAATGTGAACAAGAATCATTCTTGCTTCAAGTGGTGTTCCCACAACAAAATTAACACTCATTTGTTAAATATTTGAAACAGTTATATCCAGTAACATAAATAAAATTCCAATTTTGATATATTTCAACCGTTGATCTTCATTCCAAAACTATCACATTGTATGATCCGCCACTTTACAGTTCCAAACTTCATGACACAGCAAACAAAATTTCCCAGGTAAATTAAACACTCACCTTTGAATGCGTTATTGACAGGGTATCCACCCAAACACGCCAGCCGCCCCATTCATATTTGATTGCATGGTAGAGCAAAATTCGAAATATGGCATAGACCATTTCAGTTATCTTCTGTTCCTCAGAAGTCTTAGGATTAAAGCAGCAAAGGGAAAGCATCCACTCCTGCCAGACAGAGCACTGCAACAAACTCCTGCAAAATKCACATGTGTTATACAAATGCTATACAAATTTGTTATGTAATACAAATGCTATATAATAYGATTTCAAAAATCAATCTTAATCTACATTAATTTACATTCACAGCCAAGTGAAGAACTTAACATGTGCAAAATTACTGCTGCATGCAAGCTTTTCTAATATTACATACTGAAGAGCAAGAATGCAGAATGTGCTAAACAAGTTTCTTCTAAACAGAAATGAAGCTACAACTGCTTAGAGAGGCTATTTTATTAAGAGATGATTATTTATGCACTGTTTGCTCACACATGCATATAAAAAGGTTATCTTACCTCCTATTTTCTCTGCTGTTATTAAAAAGTTTAATCATATCTGAGAGAAAGGCTCGTCGAACCTCCAGAGTTTCTGGACACTGGGGAGAGTTGCGTAGCAGGATTGCAATAACTTTTAATATCTCTGTAAAATAGGTCATGAGCAACAAAATATTAATACTAAAGCAAATCTTAAAATACAGGACTTTTTTTTTCCTATATTGTTTGTATATTAACCACACCAAGGAAAGTAAAGCCCACATAAGAAGTATTATACTGAAAAAAGACACATCTGTACTTGGATAGGTTTCATTAACACAAATCCTTTCTTTCAAGATCTGCTCACCTTGAGGGGGATTTGCAATCCCATATAGCAAAAGAAATAGAAGCAGAATTAAAATACTACAAAAATTTCTGAATTACCAGGTCTAACATGCTCAAAATCATTGCTGTATGCAAGCTTCTCTAAAATTACGTACTGAAGAAGATGCATACATAATTTGCTTTCCCTACTCTACCCTACTTTACACATGAAGTAACCCCACAATTATGCCCTCCACTTAATGACAGAGCAACTATGAAAGCAAAAATTGTATATTCCTCTACAAAAAAAAAAGAACTTCCAAAGCTATCATAATATCATTGTATTATATACAAAGTGCATATATGCATATAATTATGCATATAATTCATATAATGCATATAATTCAGGAAAAGAGATAAGCATTTCCTCCAAGTTCAAAACATCTTAAGTTTCATAGCAAGATATTTTACACAAAGTGATCCAAAACATAAACAGATAATTTCTCCTACTTTCAGTCTAGTCATGGATCTTTAATACTTCAGGTAACATAGTCTGAGAGCACTAAATAACATAATCAGAATTGTGCTGGAACCTTAAAATATACACTAAAACAATATATTCTGTGCATGTCTTGAAAACCATTTTATAACATATTGCAGTCATGAATTGCATGCATATTTGGACACATTACATGTCTTTCAAAAAGCGAAAGATAGATGCTTCCCACATAACTCCAACTAAAAATGCATTATCTTTCCTCTTATATGAAAAACTAGCAAATCTGAGGTCAGCTTTCATACTTGAAAATGTAATTAATAACTTAAAGAACAGTTATTTAATCTAAAGATGGTATCACTTAGAAATTTGTATCTTCCTTACGAGGATTYTGTATCTTCAGTGTTGAATCTGGGTCAGGATGTTGTTTATGTATCACTTGAGTGCAAATCTGCTCAGTCAGAATCTAGCAAGAAGGAAGAAGATATCATATCAACATTCATAAAGAGCTTACTGGAATATAGTTGGATACATTTTTCATTTTTTTTCTGCAGTGCCATCATTGTTTCACCAAACTTACAAAACTACATGAAAATCATTTGCCCTTTTTCTTCATAACAATTTTTCCTGTTTCTAGTATTTTACTCAATTATATTTTTTGTGCTCTTAAATGTACAACTGCTATTTTCAGTGTACTGCACAAGAAAACTGAATCTAGCCACAACAGCCCCTGAAAGGTAAGATCACTGCTGGAATAAAATTCCACACACACAAGAACCTCTGCTTCTGACATTCAGCTCACACATTATCTGGAATTGTTCATAATAAGCATATCCATGTTAAGACGAAAAAAAAACTCAAGTAGCGAGCCTTGGAGAAAGAAGGGGAAAAAAAAGAGCTCTAAGCTGCATCACACTAAGGTTTTAATGTCATCTGGAACATATCAACTCAAACATGCAAGCAATTTTCTAACAATGTCTTACAAGTAATTAGGAAAATTGGATCCTAACTATGGTATATTACTACCTCAAATAGGACATTGTATGTGGTCATTGTGATTAAGCTTGTCTGAAGCATCAGCCTTTCAGCCAACAAAGAGAACAATCCATGTCCAAGCATGACTTCAGCTTTTCTCCTAAAATAGCACAGAAAGATAAAGAAAATTAACTTGCAAATTCAACTTGCTTTAAAAAAAAAAATCAAGAAAATGAAGTTAAAACATTAGCTTTTTTTTCCCCTTAACTCTTCATTTGCAACTAAGGCAAAGGTCTAGTAGTCTGAAGGTCTGAAAAGAGACAGGCTTTTGGACAACAGCCATCTTACTTCCACTGACACAGTCCACTCACCGATAGGCTAGAACAGACCCTTCAAGATTTTTTGATAAACATTGAGGAAAGAACATCTTTGTCCCTATTTAAGTCAAATACATTTTCACCATGGACAGCGATCTCACTATTTATCTTGTACTGTGGCCAGCTTCCCATCTAACTGAGTAGATGGGATATCAATGTTATCTTTTCTTCTGCAGGTTGCTGACTCCCAGGATCAAAAAAACATGCTAAAGTAAGACATATCAAGAAAAAATAGAAGAGAAATCTATGTGCTATTCAGAGCTAGGATAACTAGCAGATATTTATCCATGACTACCCACGGCTACACAGTAAGTACTCTTATATGTGCACACATCACAGATAAAGCATGAAAGAACTAATAAAATCAAAATTTAGAACTTCTAGATCTCAAAACTGGTTAGGAATATAGGCATATAAAAACAGGCATATAAAAAAGCAATTGATTGTTAACATTAATATAGTTCTAACCATTTTATTAAGAACATTAAAAAGAAGCTTGAGATATTCAACCTCAGTAGTGAGAGGTTCCATCTCACCATTCTAATTCTTACCAATGATTTCACTGGAATTATGCAAAAAGACTACTTTAGAAAACAAGAAGCTGTAGGTAAGCAGTAGGAAATGAATGTAAGTAAGTGATAATGCCTGGACTGYAGTTACTAGTAACAAGTAATTCTACCACATTAAAAACTAATAGAAAACAAACTGAAAGGTACCAATTTGGTACCTTCGCCATGTGGTGAAGCATATTTGCTAACTCACTTGCAACAGAGCCTCTCTTATTTTGTTCTATTTTACATGTACACATTTCTATAAACATTTTTTAAATATGTATACACACACACACACACAGTGGTATATAGCACATGTCACAACATATGCTTTCTCAAGACCAAAATCAATACTTACTTTGGAGGAAGATGTTTTAAGAAATATCCCATCACTTTTAGAGCTTGCACCCTGATGCCTTCACTTTTTGATGCTAAAAGCTTGTAGACAACCCTAGGTGGAGAAAACACAAGGCTTCTTAAAATATTGAAATAATTTGTCATGTCAAAAAACGTACTAACTGCAGCAGACTGCAAATAAATTCGTGTCTGGTCCTAGGACCCAAGTTAAGAAGATGGCTATTAATATAAACTAGAAAAAAACAGTATGTTATTTTAGTTAATCATACAGCAATTTGTGTTTTCACATTTATTACTAGCCCTAATATTTAACACTTGTACCCTTTGCTGGTCCCCTCCAGAAGTAAAGYACCAGCAAGCCAGGAAGCAATCTTGCCATTTCACCCTTAATATTCTGAAAGGCAGAAGCAAATAAGTACAAAGTATTTAATGCAAAAATGCATTGTCCTTCAACAACGTCCTCCAAAAGGAGGCTGCATAGTACATTTCAGAAGAACTACAGACCAATTCCTGAGCACTTTTGCTTATTCCAATTCTATTTGCTTGTTACACCAAGTTACAAATATTAGGGACATTCATCATGCTAATTAGAAAATACCTGCTACAAAGAGGATTCAGCCCTATCAGATCTCTTAAATAATCTTCATAGGATCACCTATAGTTAGGGCAGCACCTCTGCCCTAACTTGTATCTTTATAACAAAAGGGAGATCTCAGTGAATTATTTCTTTCAACATATTTTAAGCAGCACTCAGTTTTTTAAACACTAGTGACGTCAGTGTGATCATCTCATGCCGGTTGTGTGTGTGGAATAGACATCACTGAGCTCTTTTTCATAACCTCCATAGGTAACAAGATGATATTTCCTTATTTTTAAGATAGGACATGAAGGAAAAAAAACAAGAGAAACAGCATTCTTTACACAAGGATCTTGTAAAACCATTTATACACTGAAGTTTGAACAAACTCTCACTGAATGCAGTTGTACTAGCAAATCCTCACCTCCTCTAGAAATCAGACTGTAGGTATCTCAATTTGCGGTCACAAAAAGGCAGGAAACCACAGTTAGTGGCACATGAGAGATGGGTGACATAAACAGCCTGATGGGCAGCCCAGGCAAAAAGACCTTTCGTCAAAGCATCATTCAATGATCTCAAGCATTTGAAAACTGTTCTCCCTTCAACTTCTTCCTCGATTTCCAGAAAGCGTCTCTGGAAAAAGTCTCCACAGTATTTTTAAGCAGTAGTCCTCCCAACAACTTTTAACTGTATCCTCAAAATGTGTCTGAAGGAATATAAAAAATTCTCCAAATGTATAAGAGCAAAGCAGAGTAGACAAAAATCCCGAACAACCTTTATTTTAGAGGTCCCCAACTTTAGTGTTCTTAATTTATCTATCTTAGCAATAAGGTCTCTAAAGTAAAGTATTCTTTGATGTTGTTTCTTGGAATTTCAAAGAAAATACACATTTCCTTTGCTCAGTATCTTTGCATTTGAATCTGCTTTCATTTCTCATGTTCAGCAGCATGGGGTATGCCAACAGCAACTCAGATAAAGGCTTCCTCACTTCCTGCCAGACATGGACTCCTGGGAAGCGGCTGCCAGAGAACTGTCTCTCCACCTCGTACTGCAAATGCACCAACAACAAAGGTCAGAACCTTAAAAGTCTGGCAAGTGAGAGGCTCCAGAAAAACATGTTCTGGATACTAGCACAACTCTCACCAGCTTTATGGTGCCAAATTTCCAATTCCTGCTCTACACCTATGTGACAACAGCCTATCTCCACTACTTAGTTCTAAGAAAAGAGACATTTGTGAGGAAATTTGTAAAGCTTTTTTTTATTATTATTATTTTTAAAGGAATGCCTGAAGAAGCCTTCCAAAAGTATTCAAATGTTAGGATATCCGCAGGATATCTAAACTGCAATAAAATCCAAATTTACACTGGAATGTAAATGAAAACCCTGGGCATGTTCTATATCTCAAGTTCTATAGTAAATAATCTATCGTAGGACAGCTGAAGCAACAGCAGCTATGGAATAAAACTAATGGCTAAGGCCACCATACAATGTCACATTAACAATATAATCCACTTCTGCACCCTACCTGTTCTAACAGAGCATCATGAGTGATACCTCGTCTCAAAGGAAAGTAAATATTTTCAATTMTTGTTATTTCTTCACAAGACTGCTAACTTTAAAAATCTTAATTCTAAAAATTATTTATGAAGCTTTGTAGAATTGCTTTTATATTTCAATACCAAGGGTTTTTTTTTAATTAGAAAAAGTCTATAAATATAAAAGAAACCCGTTAAGTGACTGGAGACAGTACAGGAGCAAAGAATGTAATAAATGAGCCAAGAAAATAAAATGATTTCTCACTGTGGACTCACTATTCATATTGAGTTGCTTATACACTAGTTAATAAAAAGGAAAATGTCTACTACCAGTTGTTAAGAAAAAACAAATGTATTACATTAGAGACCCAACATGACATTCATATACTTTATTATTTAGAGTTTGTATTAGTTTCCCATAACATAATACATTACCATATAAATGAAGATAAAGCTGAAAAAAATGGGTTAAAAAGAAAAAAGGAATCAGCACAGCACTACAAAGGGCAGAAACAATTATGAACATGCCTCAATGTAGTCTCTTGAGAAAGAGTAACTGAAAAAAATATATATATAAATGAGGGTTAACCAATAGGTGCAAAAAAAAGTATGAATTGAGACTCTGCCTTTATAACAGCAGAGAATTACTACTCCACATACATTTCTAGGAATGAGTTTTACCGTTTTTTGCCTTATGCTATTTTCTCCCCACAAGGTCCGTGCAGATTGATTTTAAATTGGCAAAGTTCAATAATGCAAACACCCTCTGAGAGCCACAACACAAAATCAAAGCCATAACTTAAGCCTTTTCCTAGTACATGTTCTCCTGGTGCTCTTAGTGTCAGCAGAACCAGCTTCCCAACTACTTTACTCTCAAAATAGTGAAGCAATATTTTGCTTTTTAGGGAGGAAACAGTTGTTATGAACAAAGTGAAAAAAATTAATCAAAAGCTTTGTTCTGCAATATCCTATAATACTTTGCACATTAAAAAAAAAGCTAATAGATCATAATAGGTCAGAAAAAATCTGATCTTTTTTTGCTGATCTTGTTGGTTTACCATGAGCTCAAAAATATATGCAAGAATGGGATACTAAAAACCTAGTAGATAAAATACTACATATACACACACACACAGACACACACACACACTCCATATATATATATATATATATATATATACACACACACATATAAAAACTCAAATTGACTAATATTTGTTTCAGCATGACTGACAGTTTGGATATATATTAAAAAAAAAAATCATTGATAACATATCCATTATTTCCTCTAGTCAAAAGTAGCCTGAGGTTGCTACACACACTGACAAGGATGTTCCAGAATGCACGCAAACTTTAACAAATAAATAAGGTCAAAATATTATTCTCTTCTACCTATTTAGAAAACTTAACTTACCGTAATCCATTCCTCTTGTCGAAAGCAGGGATCAAAGAACTGGGATGCTCTGACATTAGAGCAACAAGCAATTGCAAGACATCCATTAGATTGTCATCCTGTTGAACAAAAATTAAAAATTGGAAATAAGAACACATCTATGCTAGAGCATTATTTAGCAGAGCATTGTTAGCAGTATTGGTAGACCAATGGCCAAATGTAAAAGACCAGGATGAAAGAGCTGAAGATCTAGAAGGCACTTTTATGGAGCCAGGAGAAAATATTATGAAGATTTTTTTTTTTTTTTCAATAGAGGCAAAAGTGACAGAAATATGATGAGTAAGCTCCTAACAGGGAATGGACTCTATAGCTATTTCATCCCGTTGCACATGGTCATCATTTCCCTTTCTTCAAGCACTGGGCCTACTGTGCCCTACACTGGGCAATGTTCAGTAAGGAATCTCCACTAACAAATGGCACCTCCAGAAAAAAAACAAATTAATACCATCCGCATTGACAACATTAAAAATAGGTAACTCAAGTCACACATTTAGGTGGCTGTCAGTCAAAAACTTTAGTTAAAAACTTCAGTAACCAGCACAGAGAGTAAAAGGAAGATACAGGTGTAAACAGAGAAGAAAAAAACTTTAGTTTTTAACTAAATCACTCAAAACCACAGTTTAGGAATTCATTCAAAGTTAAATTACAACTACAAAAAAAACCCTTTAAAGTAAGTAAAATGCAACTGTGTATTTTTTTCACATTCTCTCTATTAAATGGAAAGCTAAAAAACAAAACAAAAAAACCCACATGCACATCAAAACACCCTTTTCCTCATTTCTGAGCAAATATTCTGATTCTGTCCCTATGAGTAAACTATTTTTACACCTCCTGAACAATTCTGCTCCTCTGAAAATACCATTAACTTGCATCACAGACATTATCATTGACAAATGAGCCTCATAAAGCAACTGAATTTTATCACTGCTATTATTAATTTACATCTACATAACTAATTCAGTAAGATTCAGTATCCATCTTTTAGACTAGGCCATATATAGTTCATTATACAGTTAAAAATACTACCACCTTCTCATGTGAAGGCTATATATAGCTTCTGCTGTTTTGGATCACTCASTTGTTACCAAGGTCTTACTTTTAGATATCGATGTATAGGAGAATGACATAAGTTATTTGACCATGATGCAGCAAAGTACATGGTTCAGTAACCAGCAGAGAGAATAAAAGGAAGATATAGGTGTAAATAGAAAAAAAATATCTGTACTACTTGAAGGGAAGCTCAATTAATTCCTTATTTTACACATTTCAAGCATTTCAAGCACCCTCACACAGATTAGATCAGTTAGATTTATGTTCCCATTTCCCTTGTCTTTGATGTTGCATCTGGTATAAAGTGCCTTTTCCTGGTGCTAAAATACGAAGATGCAGATGTATCAGTGGTAACCAACATTTTCTCCCAATTAAGATTATATGCTTCTTTTAGATGTCATTAACATGCATGTTTATTTTTAATGCATTGTTTTCAATTTTATTGCTTTATTTAAGAAGCAAAATAAAAAGGAATAAAAAACAAAATTAAAAAATATTACTTAGGCAGCACAAAACAAGTTTGTTTCATTTTTAAGCACCATCTGCTTCCCTGCTCGTTAAATCAGTTTGCAGATCAACACAGGAAAGTATTTTGACTTACTGGCTTCCTGAATTTCAATCTACTATTTTACATAGTGCATTACACGACAAGATACTGATAATTCAACCTACTACACTTCAGAACCGGTTAACATTTGCTACTTCTTCTACAGAGCCATCTTGTGGTACAAAGAGGGTATTGTATTTTCTTTTAAAAGATTATTTATTTAGTAGTCACAAACAGCAGAAGCAATGTTAAAAAAAAGTTTAAAATTACCTCATGGATAGTGAGCAAATAATTCAGAATAGCCTGCAATTCATCCTCTTTTATTCCATAGTCCTTTTAAAAAAAAAGAAGTATTATCTGTCAATGCACAAAAAAGCAGTTCCCATAAGAACATTACTACATACCATGGGTACATACAGTGCAAGAGTCTCACAAGACATTTGTTTTCACAAATAATACTGTAATTCTGTATAGCTGCATAGATAGAAGGTAGCTGTTTCTCTGCCCCAAAAGAACCCAACTGAAGATTAGCCAACTGAAGTGCATTAAGATGACTCCAAGCTAGGCATAAAGGTAAACTGGAGAGAAATAAAGTACATGAAATAATAGATAAAGAAAATGTGAACTCAGATTTTTACAAATAAGCTGTTTAAGTTATGGTAGCAAAGAGCATGCAAAACATTCTAAATTTATGAGAGAGGAGGAAAAAAAAGAAAAAAAAAAAAAAAGACTAACACAGAAGACATCGCCCAAAGAACATAACAAAGGACAAACAAGACGAGATCTGAAGTTGCAGTAAGAAAGTGTCTATGAAAGAATACATAATATATAACATAACATGAGTTTTAATATCTAACTTGCACCAAATATACAAAACTCCCCTGTAGTAGATGTTGCTATATCAGATGACTTAAGTATTCTATTTTTGATAGAAATGAGCTTATAAGAGAAAAAATACATCTTTAGCACTACTGTCTATGACACTAGCCATAATAACATAATCCAACCTAAATGCTATTTTCATTTACTTAATTGCTTTCAAGACTCAATCTGCTTAGGGAATAAAAATGAAGTTATAGTGAAGTTGCTTTCCTTCTGAAAGGAAACTTGGATACCTTACCATAATTTAAAATTAGCCTACCTTCATCACTAGCTGTTTAATGAACATCAATAAAAATGCCCTCAGAGATAAAATCTCCTTTTGATTAGGTCGTGGCCCATCTACAAAATAAAAAAGCAGACACATAAAATACAACTTAATGGTGGTTATTGGTGTAAAGAGCGTTTGCATGCACAGAAAAAATAAAAAGCATTTGCTAAGGAAAGCAAGCACAATTTTAATTGCAGTTATTTTCCCTCCACTGTGCAGTGTGAAATAATAATATATTTAGGGCTGTTTATTAGCAAAACACTCTGACAGGTGAGGTTCTAAAAAAGTTTCTATTAAACAGTATTCTAAAAGCCTCTAAACTTTTACCAACTTCATGCAAGAAATGAATCCTACAGGAGAATTTTACACTAGARTTTATAAATCAGAAGTTTTTGCAGTTTTCAATCTTTTTAGCCCTGTGTGCTGTTTACTAAAGCTCCAAAAGCAGCACTATGCCCCATGATTACACATAGGGTACATACACAATTGAAGCCTGCAATACTAGAACTCAAAGTCAAGGACTTGCTTCTGCCACTTCTTTGTAAAGCAGATTACTACTAAAATGTTTTAAATACTGAACAGCTCCCAAGAGAGAAAAGGTTAAAATAGCAGGTGAAACCACATGCCAAAGCCAAAGGAAAAATCTTTATATGGAAAGAAAATGGCTGCTGCACACATCTTAGGGGCAGATTTTACATTTGCTCATAGATTCACAGTTTCTATGATCATAATCACTAGGGAAAAGTAAATCAATTAGCTAATGCAAATAATCATAGAAGGCTATGTTTTTGTACAGGATATATCCAGTTGCATATTCAGTCTAAGAACAAGTATTTCAGTATAGACCAGTCTAGTCAAAATAAGCCATTCAAACTAAGATAGTAAGATTATCCTATAAGTACACTTGCCCCATGTTCAATAAACCAGTTCAGAAGCTGATTAAGTAAATCCATGTCTTCACTGAGAAGAAACAATTTGGTACCTTACAAGACACAAACCATTACAAAGCAATCTTTGTAGTGCTACGATAGGGTTGGCCATTCTGTCAAGTGGACCCCTCGCTTTTCATCACCAAAAAAAGGAAAGAAGATTGAGAGGTGTTGTGTGCATCATCCCCATAAAACTCAAAGCAATCACTGGAAAGTGATTTTCAAGAAGCATTAACCTCTTAATCTGCTCCAGACCCGCCTGTACATACATGTTTACGCTAGGTATGAAGTTGCTGCACATGTTAGCCAGCTACTCCCTTGGCTTTTTTCTTACAACACATTTCCTTGTTCCTTGTCAATGACAAGTGCTAAACACCTGTTCTAAATTTCTTACTACTCCTTTCACCGCGAGCTCACTGTAGTGATTAAGCATGCTTATTAAGCATGTTTCCAGCAACTTCAGACCTCTGTGCTTGGCAAATAGACTCAATATGCCTGCTTTCCGCTACCCTAGTTCTATCAGCAGATCTAACAAGCACTTAATGGTGTCCAGAAATAAGTACCATAAAGAGACCCAACACATTTCTAAGTATAGATCCACAGTTACAAAATCCTATTGACTCTCACAGTTCTAGTATCTGTCTAAGGTAGGATATCATTTTATTAAAATAAAATATAGTGAGAGAATAGAGTTCAATGTTGGCTTGCAAGAGTAGAAACATACACCTACCTAAACCTTTAGGAGTAATACCGCTGCGATCCTGAGGATTCACTACCCAGTAGTAATACTTTAGGGTATGCATGACCAGAAGAACAGTCCCAACTCGCCGGATTGCATTGTATATGTTAACAGTGCCAATGAATTCAGTAGACAGGTAGGTATACAGGATCAGCTGAACCTATAAGACCCAATAAAAAGCTTAAATATCATTACATCAAAATTGTGGTATATCAGGCAATTGTATTAATAAATGTCATCCATTAAAATTTCTTAAAGMAGCAGAATACTTTCTCTGCAGCATCCATGAAGCTTCTAAAACTCTAGGAAACTGAAAAAATAAGTCATTTTATTTCTAACATTAGAGATTTTCTTTTTTAAAGAGTGGACCATTATTTACAAGAGAATCTAAGCATGAAATTCACAGAATCTCAAAACTGCTGAGGTTGGAAGGGACCTCTGAGAATCATTTAAGTCTAACTCCTTGCTCAGATACGGGCACCTAGAACAGGCTGCCCAAGATCACATCCAGGCAGATTCTGAATGTCTCAAGACAGGGACTCCACAACCTGTCTGGGCAACCAGTTCCCACGTTCACAGTGAAGAAGCATTTTCTGATTCAAGAATTTCTGGTGTTTTAACTTGTGCCCGCTGCTTGTTGTTCTGGTCACTGTGAAGAACCAGGCTCTATCTTGTTCACATTCTCCCCTCAGGTATTTTTTACATATTGGTAAGAACCTCAAGCCTCCTCTTGCCCAGGCCAAGATGTCTCTACTCTCTCAGCCTCTCCTCACGTAAAAGGAGCTCCAATCCCTTTGTTATTGTAGGGGCCCTTGCCTGGGCTTGTTCCAGGAGGTCCAGATGAGCCAGTGCCCCAGCTGTGGCCTCCCCTGCACTGAGATGAGGGGAAGAATCAGCTCCCTCAACCCGCTGGCAGCTCTGCCCAGTGCAGCCCAGGAGGCTGCTGGCTGCCTTTGCTACAAGGGCACGGCGCTCGCTCACGTATTAAGAGTAAATATATAGGGTTTCTACTCTCCTTCACACAACTTTGGCAGACGAAGTGAAAAACTATTTCAAATGCTTGAGGTTAAGAAAGCAGTAGTTAAACTTAGCTGGCAGAGTTTTAAAGATATTAACAAAACACAAAATGAAAAAAAGACAAAAGAAATGCCTTGTACAATTATTTATGACCTCGTTTTGTAAACTATCTATATTATTTATATCATGCTGTTGGTTCTTGGTTTTACTTCATAACCTGAAAGGAATTACGACAATTTTAAGAAATGATTCATTTTGTGCCTTTTTTTTTTTGAAATTTAACAAAAGGCTCATGTAAAACATTAAAATGATCTAATTAAATCCACCTATCCCTCTGCTCAAGCCTTCCCCAAAACACATCATTGCAAATGCTGCATTATATCAAAATATATCCTTCAAAAAATTGTCTTAAGAGAAAAAGACCAAATACAGTAACAMACTCCAAGCCATGACTGCTCCTAGAATTTCTTCCTTGAGAAGGAACAGCCCACAGGCATTTTCSTTAGTCATTCCCATGCAGAATGTGTTGAAAGAACCACAAACGTTCTAACAGCAAAAAGAAAGATCAGAAATCAAAAAGAAAAAGTTTAACATGACCTTAAAAGGGTGAGGCAATAACAGACTGATATCCTGTGGGAAACCATTTTCTTCTTGCCCTATGTTACACAGAAGCAGCTGATACACTAAATATCTTTGATAATCACAAAGTTAAATAAAAAAGGTCAAAGGTATTTGTCKGTTAGTTTTTATTTCCTTCTTTCCTACATGTGCTACTTGTAACAAGAAAGATAACATTTCTGCCGCAAATACAGACTTCAAAAGGGATACTTCAGGAAGTACTCCATTATTATGCAAAGCTGCATATTTATTACACGCCTTGCTACTCATTATGGACTTAAGTATTTATGCACTTCCCTTTTCTGCTGAGAAGTAGAGAAATAATCATTTAAATAATTATTTAATTTAGCTCTAGAACCTTTTTTCAGGGGGCACAGGAGAAGGCAGGATGGAGGGGGTGAGAGGAGGAGCAGAGAGGTTGGTCAACAAGGCCCTCACAGATTCCTTCCCAGTCTGCAAGACTKCCAAGATTAGGGACTCCAAAAGCCATCCTCATACTGCTCTGCAGAGTGCTGTAGGTTTCCAAATTCACTGAAAACCTCGCAAGATTGCAAAACTTAACAGCTCTATGTAGAAAAGCAGAGTCACTTYTAGCAGGATTTCTAGTTGCAGATTTAGAAGTCTTAAAGACTGGATCTCATTTCATGACTCCAGAATAGATGCATCATACGGTATCTTATTCAAGAAACTATTTTACCTTTGCTGGAATATGAATCCATATTGCAGGGTTAAGAAGAACATGATCACACAGCTGCTTCAGCAAGGGCACTCCATTGTGCAAGTTGCTCAGGTACTTGGAAAAGGCAAGGCATAGTTCTAGCACAGCTCGTGTAACATGGGCTTTGGAAGACTGTAAAAGAGAATTCCCTTAAGCAAGAACCTTGCAACAGTCAAGAAAGATTATTCATTCAAAAGAAATACATAATATCCATGATACATAACGATATGAACATCGATAAGATTTTGCTTTACCTTTTCTAGGCTATATCCTATCACAAGGAAGCCCTTACAGGAAAGCATCTGCTCTTGCATAGCAATGGAGTTCTTCAACAACTCCATGATGAAAGCCAGCAAAGTAGAACTGAAAAATATATCAGAAGATAAAGAGTTTTGAATGGTTATGGCAATAACATATAAAGTATTTTCCCATAAACACTAYCAACATATAAAATTAGAGATAATTAGATAACAGAAAAATTATTATGAAAACTTATTCTTGTAAAAAAGACAACAGTGCCTACTTTTCTCTGCTTCATATTTCACTTTCAAACTTCAAGATGAGTGCCAATGCCTTTCCACTTGCTACCACTTTGCTTTTAGATAAACAGATGTTGGAAATACTTCTCTAGGCACAGTTTTGCTACCAGCTCAAGCTAATTCAATACTTTCCTGCTGCCAAAAAGAACGTCAGTGTCTCTCCCCATGTGTCATAGTACTAGTGCCTGTGAGTCAAGGCCACAACCAGCTGAAAATCCTTCTCCTGCTGGGCTAAGATGCAATTGAATCAGAACCCTGAATATACAAACCCATGTATAAATGTGCTGAAGGAATACGGTGACCATCCCTCTTAGCAACAGCATGGCAGAGATCATCTTAACACAGTCACAAAACTACAACTGCAAAGCAGGACAGCAGACTACAGGAGGATTCTACCAGGGATCCCTTTTATTAACACTGTATTAACAGTGCTAACAGTATTAACACTGCTCTGAGGAGTTCCACCAATTCCTATGCCTGGATATGCAGATGTTGAACTCTGCTGAAAGGGTTCAAACCAGAAAAAAAACTCACAATAAAAAAAGTTATAATCTCTCAAAGCTTGACAGTAATGTAGATTAGCAAACGGGGAAAAAAAAAAGGACATTATAGCTTTATATCAACATGAGTTTTACATTAATGTCAAATTATAAATACATTTCAAAAATGCTAAAAAAGAATTGAAAAAAATAATACTGTATTTTTCTGTGCGGATTGTTTTAAAACTTCATTCCCCTAAAAGTCCAAATACAAAAACCAAAGAAATTCCACAAAACAACTCAGATGATATAGCTGAAAAATTAAACTTTCCTGGAGTTTCTCTAAAAGTAACTCCCTATTCTTTTTCCTCATGGACAGGAATCAGTTTCAAACATTCATAATTCTGTTGCACCAAATATTTGCAAAATAGAAGAGATGTGTGCTTTGATTTTGTGTGAACTGACAAAAAGTGGTGCAAACAAACATTTGATGTCCTTGAGTAACAAGGCATGCTTTGTTTTTAAACATAATTCCCTGTTGTACAAAACAAGTTACTATGCACTACACACTAAATGCTAAATTAAATTAGTATGCATTACATACTAAATTACAGCTTAATAAAGCAAGAGGTAATTTCCTTTACATAGTAAGGACATGGAGAAGGAACATATACACTCACCAAACAGTTGTGTCAATATGGTCTGATGAATATTGCCTATAGTCTAACTGTGCAAACAGAGGGAAAAGCACCTGCACTCCTCCAATGGAGTGCATGGCACTTTGGATAGAATGTGTTAAGACTGCCTTCACATCCTGAAAAAGAAGATTAAAATCCTGTTGAAGTAGTTTGTTATGCGTAGTTTGAAATTTCTCCAAAATATAAATTAATTGTTAACAAATAAAACAATACTGAAAAAGTACAATCTAGCTGCTACAGCCACACTAAAGGCCCAGTGTGAATGATCTATGTACAAGCTATTGATGGAAGTCCACAGTTTGGGTCCTCAGACAAATACAAGACATGGTTTGTAAATCCTAAAGCTGGGAATTTCTTGGCCACATGAAAAGCTCATTACAAATGTAAAGATCAAAGTCTTCAAAGGATACAGAARAAAAACTATAATATAAATAGAGCAAGGGGACTGAAGATGGGTAGCATGTGTAGTGGAATTAAAGTATGCCAGAAATGGGGAAGAGGTAAGTTTTTGAAAAGCTAGGACAATAAAATCTTTGCAATACTATTTTATGTTGGAACCTTGATAAGCGTTTTCTTAGGATACTTGCACATCCACATTCATTCAGGAATGGACAGTAGGTCTGCACACCACTGAGCAAAGATCCCTCTGACCATGCATGTGACATTACAAAAAACAAAAGTACGGAATTATGTAATGCAAGAGAGAACAGGGAAGCTGGCCACACTGGATACCTGACTATAGCCAAGGGGGAAGTCTACTTTAGATAGCAGTCAGGAAAAGTCAGGTGGTCAAACAGTACAGACAGGCTTCATAATTTCAAGAGCTATGAGTGACTGCCTACCACAGTCATCAGCTTTGGAGACTGAGGTAGAAGAGCGCACAATCTCGGCTAAGATTTGCTAGAGGGAAAGAGAGAGGTCATCAAGAAAAATATCAGCAACTATCTTGCCCAATCCCTATAAAACTTAACATTCTTTTTCTTTGTTGGTTTTAATGGAAACCATTTGTATCCTTAAAATCTATCAAAGCATTGAAGTACCTGCAGCATGAGGGCATGTGGTGAATGAACAAAAATAGAAGCATTATCCTTAGGAGATGACTCTAGACAGAGCTGTGCATCTGTAGCCCTTGGGTTGTACATAAAAGCGATAGCGCTGGATAGCTTGCCATCATACAGCAACAATTTGTGATGTTCAGCAAGGAAAAGATCACTTTCTGCCTTGAATTTGAATGTTCCCTGGATTGGGGACCAGGGTTAAGGATGGAAAAGAGAAAAAAGTAATTATATACATTGAGAATTTAGTTCAGAACAAAATTGATATCAGAGAATTTCTAAAATATTSAATCACTTTAGCAATAATAATTAAAAAAGGAGTCTCATAATATGTGCAATCAGAACCATTTTTACAGAATTATCATGGCMCAACTATTTTTTTGGCCCCCTATGAGTAACATTGCAAAAATAGTGCATAGTGTAAAATAAACACATTAGATGAGCTAATAACTAAGAGCTAATAACCAGGGAGCAGAGAGAACAGCAGAATCATCTTCTTGGTGTATGTTTTTATAGCTACTAGGGAATAACAGTTCCCAATTACTGCCCCACAGGCTATGACAAAACAAGTAATAAATCACTGTAATAAAAATAATCCTCAGCATTTGCTTCCTATGTTAAGAAACAGTGAATAGCAATGTCAGCTATCAAACTACTTTTCTAAAACAAATGTAGTATATTTGGTCTAAAATCTTCAGTCTCCATGGAAAAGTGAATCTAGCTCCAGATAAGTGCTGTTCCCTCTCACAACAGCCAACACAAGATTATAAAAATGAACAAGAACTTAAGTTTAATTTTGTTTAGAAATTAAATATTTACTTGTAGTTTATAAGGAGACCATTTGCTTTATAGGAAAAATATGGAACAGCTTAATTTAGAAAAAAAATGTAAAAAGTAAAAGAATTTAGAAAGCAGGTAAAGGCATCAAAATGTTCCTGAAATGCGTGCTAAAAAGATATCAGAATTAAACTTCAGAAACCTTTCAGTCAATTCCAAGATACCTTATATCCCAGACCAAGCTGATAAATGGCAAAGATCTGGGCAGCATTGAGAGCCTCGCTGAAAAGGTAAACAGATGTCATCTGCCCACAAAACACACGATTGGCATCTGCTGTTTCTGAAGAACCCAGGAAACATTTGTCAAATGTCTGGAAAGGAAACAAAATCCAGCAACCAGGTTTATTCTAAACTACTCAAGTATAGTCTATGTTTATCAAGCAGGTATTTTTAAATAGACAAGCTTTTGATGGCTTAGCAGAAACATGCTTTGTGTTTCTGAGAGATATAAAAGAATATCCACTTCTATTTCACAATTTAAAAAGTGGGGGTTACATATTTTTAATAATGCTTTTATTAAAAGCCTTAAACAGGAAGAAAAGTGTTCAATGGAAAAAGAAACCTATGTAATCCACCAAAATGTTCTACTATACATACTTTCTAGTACAGAGATCACTTACATCACTGGTGTTGACAAACCACGTTATTTCTCCATACGATGCCAGTTCCCCATTCACATAACATCGAAGTTCACTATTCTTCCAGCGGTTGTATATGTGCACGATAGTAACCATATACCACTGAATAATTAAAAAAAAAAAGAATAAGTAGTAGGGTATTACGGGGAAAAAATAACTTKATTTGCATTAAGTTAGGGCAGTAATGTATATTTTAAATAGAAAAGATGAAGTCATAGATGAGTTTAGTTATATACATATGTGCCATTTTGCCCATAAAAAAAGAAAAATTGGACTTAAAGTTTAAAAGATATCTATGGCATAAAATTCAAACCATTTTCACAGCAATCACGAGCCATATAATAACACTAAGGTCAAAGTAATTACTGTGCAAATATATTTTAACTTAGTTATATTTAAACTGCTGTTCTGCTTTGGATGTTGTCATTCCAAAGCCCATCAAGGATGACTCCAAACTTTCAAAGACTTTCAAAGTCTGTGCATGTCAAATTGTCATAAACAGTAACCGTATTTACAGCAAGGGATTACTGATAAGAAATTCCTCAGGAGGTCAGGAAGAGGCCCGTTCCCCACAAAATGTTTACATGAACTGCAGCAGAATTTCTACTTTAAGAAAGAAACATTTTCAATGTAGCATAACACTGCTTAATAGGCAAGCAMGTCTTGAATAACAACACTTAAATGAACTCATTTTAATTTCTATATTTGAGAAGATAGATATAACATCAACTGCAAGGAGAATATTCTCTGGACAACCTGCATGAATAGAAAGTGTTTTCCTTTTAAGGATATATCTGTTCTCCTAAATGCAAGAAAAGCAAACTTTCATTGACTGCCCCAGCTTAGGAAAATTAAATATGGCTGAGTAAACAGCTCTCTAAAGTACATGGCATTTCTCCATATAGAATATTAAAAAATCATTTAAGGAGATTGTTAAAATCCCTCAGGAAAAGGAGAAAAACAAGTTCAGAGATAGAAGGAAAAAAATGAGACCAGAAAAAAGGTCAGTCTCCTCACAGCTTTCAGGTTAAGAGTTGTCAAAGATTTCACAAAGGTTTCACAAACTCTTAAAACTTCTMGTAAACTGCTTTTTTAAAGCTTTTTTTCTTAAATATTTCATAAGTAAAACTTGAAATATAATTTTCAGAATAGAAAATGTATTTTGCTCATTCCAGTGTAAATGTGTACATATTTACTTAATCATTAACAGGAACAACACTTCCTCTTGACTGTAGTAGAAAGATTTACTAAAAATATACCTCGTAGCTACACACAAGTCCATGCGCATTTCTGTGCATCTGAAAGACTTTACTCTCTTGACTCACCTTTTGTGGCTTGAAATCAAATTTTACACAATGCTGGAAACCTTTTCCCTTTGATTTTATGGATGTTACAACCAAGCAGCCTCCAACAAAGTGTGCAGAATAACCAAGTCCTTTGTTTGTTCGAAAACTGAAAAATATCAAGTAAAATCAATAAGTACAGATAGAAGCAGAAGCCATTGAATAACAAGAATCAAACACCAGAAATACAGTTTTACATAATACTCACCAATATAAGTAAGGTTTATCCTTATCCACATTGATATTATTTACAGGATCCATTCTTAGCCAAGTATGAAAAGTGAATCCATTCTGGTAGGGCCACTTGGCTATAGGAGGTAAGGCAATACCCTAAAGAAGGCACAGTTACTCTTGTAGAAAGATCAAAATCACGACAGTTTAACCAGTAAGGGCACACAGCTTAAGAGATTATAGCATAAAGGAACACTGCATAAAAATAAAGTTGTTCTATGCAGCTTTTTTTTWAATAGTCCAAATATTTCAAGACTGATCTTTGTATTATAAGAAAAATAATAGCAATACAAGCTCCACTTCAAAAATAGAGTATTTTGGTGAAAAAGTTACTACATAAATTTCCTCAAAATGCAAGTTCAACATGATTTGGTTTTGTGGTACCCTAACAGAAGAATCACATTTACACATTTATTTTCACATATTCCTGGCATCCAGGAAAATCACTGATTATGAAAACAACATGGCCACAAAAAGGGAACTGTTTATATACATTTGAAGCATTCTTTTTTCTCTTGAAACTCATGTCAATGTAAAGTAGAATATAACAGTTTTCTTAYCTTGCTTAAATTAAAGTTAATACAATGTTTGGCTGGTAAGGATTTTATCAATGTTAGTTTAAAGCTCTTAAGTTATAAACCATGTAAGGCTCGGTTCTCCATTTCAAACAACTGCTTTTGTTGCCTATTTTTTTTTCTTATTATTATTAACATTGCTCTTAGCTTTTCACTGCTTTGCTGCACATACTTGAAATGCATACTTCAACTAAGACTGCCATAGTCACTAATCAAAGATGCTGTCCAGGTGATCAATGCCAATGAACAAAAACATTAAAGAACTTCAGCAACACCACACTCTTTATTACACTCCTCCACTCAGCTGCTTTATCCGTTAAAAAAWAAATAAATAAATTCTTCTCTAAACCAGCTAACTAATCAGTCTATATGTTTTTGAGACCAGCTTTTGGGAACTGGTAGCACGACAATTTGGCTTAGCTAACAAAGGATCTTGGARTGGTTTTATCAAATACTCGGGCTATGCAAGCATATGAATAGCCAGAAAGAATAAAAACATGTCTATTGATATGGTCGGTTGTATGCAAATATATTTCTGTAAAAGTATTTTTGAGTTTCAACTTCTCTTTCCAATAAGATACTTGATGTCATGAAGTTGGTGAAGTATAATCTCAAGTCACCAAGGCAGATAGGTTACRGGTTACATGAAAAAGCTAGAAAGAGTCCTCTGATAAATCTCATTCTATATTATGCATGGAGTTCTGAAAAAATTACYTCATCCTCTGATGTCAGGAGCGAAAAAGAGTCAGTACACTTAATTCTCATGCAAAACAACTGTACAACTCTTCATCTCTATGACATTCCACAGAAGCCAAAAAGACAGCAGTGAAAACTGTGAATGGTGTTAGTAGAAAAAAAAAAAAAAAAAAAGGATTTAAACAATTTACTTACTGCAGCRCTTTTCCCTGGAAAGTTGAAGAAGGCATCAGGCCCATACTTCTGAGGCATGTGTTTTAATACAGACAACAGCTTCCCAGCATGYGGTGGCTGACAAAAAGAAATATTACACATGTAAATAAATAGCACACACCTGCAAGAAAGAAACGTCTATACATACAAAAAAAGAATTTTGACACATCTTACGTCCTTGTCCTCTAAGACAATAACTCTAGACTTTCAATAAACTTGGACAAAAAGTCAGGGATATCTTCATACAACATGCAGTAGATGCAGTAGTTATTGTGAATGCTTAACACTTCCCCACCCTCATCCTACTTCTGCATGGTTTTTGTTTATTAATTTATTTTTCTACAACTTTACACCTCTGATCTGTTCCTAAAGGTGCCCTTTTCTCCTCTTGCAAGCAGCCACTCTCTTGAAAATTAAGTTTTGCATCATCTGTAAGTATTTCAAACAAACCAAACAGTCAAATAAACAGTGCTTCCTGCATTTGAACTGAAGGTAAACAAAACAAATAACAACCAAAAAATACACTGAGATTTGTTTAGATGTCTTTAGCAGGACAGAAACTCAGCTAGGTAATTCATGCTGGGGTTAGATATTTGGTATCTTTACAGCACTGTTGAGGTTAAGATTTATGGAGCTGTGGTGCAACTCCCTCACAATGCAACCATGAGTTTTTCCTCCTCCTTTCCCTTGTATTTGGCCTTTAATAAAGCAAGGAAATTAAATGCAAATAATAAAGAGTCAGGAAATGAGAAAGCTAATGTTACGAAGACAACTTTAATTCAGCTAAAGTTAAATATACTCTATATGTTTGATTTTTAAATTTAAATCTTATATAGAATATTTTTACGTGAGCAAGTTTAGATCAGAAGGAACTTGTTTCAAGAGCTCTCTYTGATTTTTTTCTATATTATTGTGCAAGTACACCAACATTTACAGTGAACATTATTTTTCCAAGTGGGAAAACCTGCTGTACTGCCTTTTCCCCATATCAGGTGGGGTATTTAAAGATAATGGCAGCTGAATTAAWATTGAAAATAGGTATAGCAACTGTTTAAAACATTAAGAATTGTAGCAAAATAGTAGTTTTCTGGCTAAAAAAAGAAGTGCATCTGGCAGCATCTCCAACATACAAAATTTCACTTTAAGGAAGAAGATTAACAATTGTAGGAGAGCTCCTTGTCCCATTTTAATTCACATCCAAAGAGGAGAAAACATAAGATGTGAATTCTCACCTAGAGCATATTTCTGAGTCAAACTGCAAGATACTCTTTATTTTAACTTCTGCAACAAATTCTCATTACCACAAGAACATTTTTTCAATCTTTAAGATCAACATTATGAAAATAGAAATATACTGATCTGCACATGCAGACAATTATTTATTTCTTTGCAAAGTCTTTGAAAAAAAAATTTTAATTCTTTTCCTTCAGTTTCTCGTAAGAGGAATGACAAAAAGTAAATGTGCATAAAAGCACACGCTTAGAGTCACCATATTATTCCCAGCTGTTCAAAAAAGACCAATTCTGTCAATATAAACAGAGGGCAAACAATCACTACCCTATGTATTTTAATTGCTTGCAAGTTAAAAGGTGATATAACACTAACATGTATCCTTTATACMTTGATACTTTTAAAAATTCTTACTATACAGATTATTAAACAGTTTTTTATGTTAGGAAGATTAGGAAAAAATATAGAGTGTTTTTTTCTTTTACCCATCTTCCCTTTTCTCCTTGAAGTTTGCTGAAGAATAACTTKAGCTCTCGAACTGTCAAGTTATAGGTAGCTAAAACACCCAGCATATCCACTAGGAGATCTGAAAAGGGGRAAAAAAAAAATCAAACATTTATGACTTCATTAATTAGTAATTGTGCTGTGAGATTTCACACAAAAGGGGAATACAACTTGACTCCTATACAGACTGAAGCCGTACCTGCAATCATACTGTCAGCTCTATCAATCCTCTTGAGCACTTGCTCAACCAGGCCCACCTCTGCGCACGCCTGCAGGTTGCGAATGCTTTTCTTCAAGATGGCTGTAAACATGCTCCACACCTCAGCCTGGCACGTGGTGTCACACTTATCCAGCAAGTCTACCATGCACGTAACTCCCTCTCCTTCTTGGATGATGAAGTTCATTTCCAAGTCAAAACGGCCACCAACAAGCTTTCAAACAAAAAGTAGAAAAAAGTCAACAAAGATCAGGACAACTATATCATAATATCATTCCACACTAAAACTTACCCATTTTGTAAGTACGCTATCAAGGCCACATGCCAAAACATATAACGAGGCCAATATCACATCTTTTTCCTCCTCTTTTCAAGTTTTGCCGGCTAACTTCAACACAGATGCTCCTAAAGTGTGACCTACTATGGGACAATTGCTGCAGAAGCACATTCATGTTCAAGTTACTGATATCCTGAACTGTATGTTCCTGCCTGCACRGCTGAAAAGTGAACAAATCCAGACAGTTTTCCAAGACAGGGGAGACAGCAATCTGCTAAGAGATCTTAAACAGCCTAGAATGCCCCTTTAAGCTTTCTTCCGCATCTGCTTAACTTCTAACTCCAGTAGACGGCAATTCTAGCCAAAAGGCACCACCACACATAAACTTTGTTCTTTACAAACACTTAGAGTCATTCTTGAGATACCAAAAGCATTCAAGTCCTAACTGTGAATTATGTTTGCAGCTACAGGTATGAAAAGAAAGCCAAGTCTTGCTTCCTTYTGCGAAACAGTGTTTTTTGAAGCCTATGCTCTGGCTAACAAACTTAAATCCTGCCATATTTCAGGTCTGTCGTGTGCAGGCTTCGTTTTGGCTTAAACTGAGTAGCAAATCACATGGGCATGTGCTAAGGGTGGCAACGGGGAGTAGGCACCTGAAATAACCTACTTCATTCTTGCTTGTATACTCAGTAAAATGAAATTTCCAGTTGAAGGAAGTATGAGTTGTCCTAACAAACTCTTATACCCCAATCCCACTATTTAAACTTTCCTTGAATGTTAGAACTTGCATTGCTCTTAATCTGTTAACCATGACACCTATTCAATTAGAAAAGAAAAACACAAACAAAAAAAAATGCATCCTTAAAAATGTGTTGTGTTTGCCAAGATACTTATTACAGAACAGTGTCCAAAAAGAAACACAACACAGACCTAACCTCATAACTTGTCATCAAAACTATATGAGGTTCTCATCACTTGGTTTAAGTCAAGACACGATTTCTGTCCTACATCATTTTTCTACACAGCATTTAATCATTCAGTAGTGTTACTTGCTAAAGTCATACCACGTCAAAACTGCTCCAAAATAGGTATACTTTCTGGCTACCATATTAGCTCCAAAAATTTCTCTCAGCTAGTCAGGATAGGAAGATAAACCTACCCAACAGGGCAGAATATATGCACTTTATTAACTCCTGAAATTACCATACATTTTCCCCAAGTGTCTAAATCTTGTCACTTTGAAGAAGCAATCTTCTGGACATAAATCAGTAATGCCAAGCACCACAAGAAGCAGGGAAAGTTACAGGTTTTATGACAGAATAGACAATATCTCCAGGTAACAATTTCTAAATAGTAATTTACACTTTTCCATTTTCTCCTCTCCTGGTCATGGAAAATAATTATGCAATTTACTGTCAGATGCTTCCTTAATATCTAGGGAAACTACAGTTGGAACTGAATGAGCAGCTTTGAATTACGCTCTCAGCTTCTCTATATCAACTCACCCTGTCRTTATCAAACAAATCTATCATGTCATTATCATTCTCCAAATCCCAATTTTCCCTTCCATACAAGGGAGCTGAGGCCCACMTCAAGAAAGCACTGTAAGGCAGTATTCAAGGGAAATCAAGAACACTGAGCAGAACAAATCAAAGTAGAAGTATCACAAAACACATCCAAAGAAAAAAGTACACCTTCTCCTAGTGAAAAGGCAAAATACATAACTAATAAAAACACATATAGTGTAAAACAAAGTATAGACTCTATACAAGAGTGAAGTACCCCACAAAAAGCCCATCTCTTTCTCACCGAAACAGAATTACTACATTCTGTGTGCAAACAAAACAGCTCAAGGTTAAACTCCAGCCACAAAGCACCTRCTAATTTCTTAGCAACAAATTCAAATGTTTATGTGTTTGATTTTAACTAGCCAACCATCAATCATCACACCAAAATCATATATGGCAGCACTTAAGTCGCAACTAGAGGTGACCTTACCTTCACCCTATAGTCTCCCCCACCAATCTTTCATTTTTGGCTAGATACACTATTATCAGTAACCACCCATCCAGGAAGCTGTCAAATAAGGTTTCCAATCTACTCTGCAAACATAARCATTTCACCAAATACATTCTAGAAATAATAGCAATTATTTTTACCATAGCATATTAACATTTCCTTTAGGGGATATCTCCTGAGGACTGAGAGAGGGGGATGGAGAAAGCAATATACTGAATGCACAGTGCATTTGATGTRCTATATGTATGCATACCCATTAGACACACATAAACACCCACGCGCACACCACAGTATGTCATATTAACCCTTTCTAATGGTGATTTGAAACTGATCAACCTTCAAAACACAAATTTGTTTCCAATGACAGGGATCATAATCCAGGTCCATGCATTGGCTAGTTATTATCTGAGCCGCAGTAATGGCTGTGCACAGCAAAATGTAATCTTCCCAAATGTCACAGTAAGTTATGAATATCTGAGCAGCTTAATGCACCTTACTAGCCATGAAGTGTGAGAATGTAATCTTATTACCTTTTTTATGGTTGTATTTTTTTGAATAATGTAGCCTTTGAACTGATGTATAGTCTTTCCTTGTACTTTAGCATGATTTGGTCTCCTGTGTCGTACAGTACATTTTTCAAAATTCTCCAATTCAATGTATTTTAAGGCTTGTGCTCAGCTGCATAAACAATCTTTATCACAATCTACAGGGTGACATAACGCTTTCTTTCTTTGGAGTGTAGAATTAAGTGTAAGCTTATAGGAATGATTTTAAAGGGCAGAATTGGAAATATTCAAATACACCTTCACAAATTCCACATTTTGCCAGTTATATTTACTTGAAAAAAAAAATCATGAACCAAATCAATGGCTCCAGCTTTTCAGAAACACAATTCTACATTTAGTTGATTGAAACAGGGAGTTTGCATTTCCATTACAGTTCATAGCTACACAGTCAAATAGTGTGATTTTTTTCCCCCTTTACTTTGAGAAACAATAAGTAGTCAGCATTACAGCACTAACTACTATAGAAAAGCATGACAACACTCCTAAACAGAAAGAAAAAAGAATTTAAATATAATCAAATCTCTTTGTTTTGAAGCTTCCACTCAATCTAAAACAGGAAAGGTGATCCAAGATATAAAAGACATGGCATACCCACACTTCAGTTGAGCAATTTCCCAAGTACAATAAGCAGACAATTGCTCAGAATAAACATTGTCAAACTCCACCTTTGCTGAAGATTATGATAAAGGTTATAAATCAGATTTATAGTCACATCTGTTAATGGTAGACAAAAATATTTCAAAAGCTTGTATGAAATGGTGGTAGTATTTCAATGTACTAAAACAAATAAAAAAAGATAGAAAAAAAGAAGACAGAAAAAAAGAAGCGCAAGCAAGACCAGCATTTCTGAGGAAAACAGGAAAATCCRAGCTGTTTATTTTGGGGAAAAACTATAGAACTAGATATCCAATTTTACCTAATATCTCTAAAAAATGCGACTTTTCTTAGCTCCACCTGAGCCTTCTAGTTACTATGCATTATGACACAAGCACTTCCTTTGTTCTCAATAACCAGGATGAAAAAGATGAACATTGTAAACTGTCCTCTTACTCTCCGTTCTCCAAGATGCTCGTTTTGAAATCTAAAATTTTATTTGACAAATGACTATTCAAAACAGGAGGCCAGTTCCATCTCCAAGGAACTTTTGTAAGCGTATGCGTAAGCAGGAGCTGCAAAGCTTCATGCACAAGGCTAATAAGTGCTTCAAGTCTTCCAGAGCAAAGTGCTTACACAAGTTAAACACCAAGAAAGATATGCTGAAACTAAATGAGTTGCTAGTTCAACAATTAATGTTTTGAGATAATCCTCATCATTTACTTCTACGCACAAAATAGCTATGCTATCCAAAATGTTCTTTGTTTTACTGCAGTTTTGCATTATGTCAATTGACCTAAGGTAAGATAACATAATGTTCATGAATTGATGACACAGTGTGAATGCATCTTCTAGAGAATACAAAATAGGTTCATTTTAGGCATTATACTTGTGAATAAAAACAAATAGCTATGCAATAAACTTTAATAGAAGACAGGAACAATATAGGCAATGTAATAACCCACAACGTGGGTTCCATCCCTTTTCATCCCTTAATGCCTTTTCAGGCATTAAGAAACTCAGAACAAATGTATTTATCTTCATAATTATGCAGCTAAGATTTGAGAAGCATAAGAATTACCATATTTAGGGCAAGGATCTGATAATTTCACAAGTCATCACCAAATGAATTGAATCCCTTGAAGGTACACAATAAACAACAACAACAACAAAAACCCACACACACAACTGAGTACACATTCTAGATGCAACAAAAAGATGGCCTGACTGTTCTGAAAGAACTCTRTATATCAGAAGAAAGTGGAGAAAGGGCACAACCTTCACATACTAACTGCAACTATCCATTCTCTCTGCCTCCCCTGCCCCACATTTTTCCATGTTCTCTTCCCTACCACTAGTCCGTCACTTCAAGTTGAAAACAGAATGAGAGTCCTAAGAGAAGGTTTGTTAGGACAGTCTGCTGAAAGTTTGCATAACGATATCAGAAAGTAACACTGGTGTGAATGTCAAGTCAGTGACATGATGACAAACAGGGCTCAGGCAGAAATATGCTACAGGGAGGAAAGGGATGGCAATTTTATTATTATTAACCTTAAAAATATATATATGTCCATTAAATCAACCATAAATGGATCCAAACAAACGAGGTTCACTTTCATAAGACAAAGTTTAAAGACGCTTTTGTATAATTCAGTTTCATCACACTATTAATTGCAATCCAGTCCCAAGCAGAGGTAGCTCATTCAACAGAAATATCCCCACTGGCCCCCTTCACGAGGATTTAAAAGGGAATGCTCT